CAGGTGGCACATGAAACGGCTTCACTCAGCGGAAGGGAGAAGGAGAAACAGCATTCAGAAGGCTTGTTGTCATGCTTTCCGTGGGTAGTCAGCCTCTTCTCTCCTGACATCCCTGTTGCATTGGCACTATAAGAAGGTTTTTGTGAGACCAGTTGCTCTCGTTGTAGTAATGGTGGGGCCGCAGACCATATCTTAGTTCTTGGGGACCACTGGTGGTCCATGAACCACAGGTTGGGAACCACTGAGCTAATTAGTCTAATTCTAAATATATAATCACCACAAAGATTCTTAAAATAATCTTTTTTGTAGTTCAGTATTAAATATATTTCTACATGATTGTTTATTAAAACCAGGAGTGTCAAGCATCAAGGCCCCATAGCCCACATGTGATGCTGGCTAAGCATGCCTATGCATTTATTCAACTGATCCTCATCTATGCCTTTTCTTCAACAGTTTCCTCATTTTTTCCTGGAGCTGGGGATAGGGAAGGGCATTGTTTTGAATAAAATTGTCAGGAAATCAGGGAGGTTGAATTCAGTGAAAAAGGGGCAGACATCCCAAAGGTACACAGGTAAGGTCTTGAGGGACTGAGGAATATTTCATAGGGAAAAGAATTCTTATTTGGAGAGGAGGAATGCCCTCATTGCTGCTCCCCATACACTTGGTGCTTGTGCCTCCTGGAAATAAGCCCCAAAGCAGCCTATCTGGTTTGGTGTTTCTGGCAATCTTGCAAATGTCCATTTTAAGCAAGCAAAATGAATGTTTTCTTATTGCTCTCTCTCTCTCTCTACTGAGGTTTCATTCATCACAGGCATAATTCTGGAAGGAAGAAATTGCCTCCCAAAGCAGGTTTTCAAACTTTTTTCCCCTTTGGCATTTCACTCCATCTTCTAAAATCCTTCAGCTGCTTCTTGCCCATGAAGTAGGATTCCCATGGAGCAGTAAGATGGAGGAGAATATTTTTTGCGATGTATTGGCTATCCATTACTCCCTTCCATTCCTGAGCTCTAAATCGTCCCCACTGGAGGTAGGTTTTCTTGAGGATTGGAAGCAGTTTCCCTCCTGTCAGCATGATGACTGTTCAAGGGAAACCTCCACAGGGGAGAGATAGAAAAATGCCATTAATTTTGTGTGGAAAAGAGGTATTCTGCCAGCTTCTTCCTTCAAAGCTTTCTCCAGCGATGCAACACTACAACAGCCAGGCCGTGCTTTGCAAAGCCAGCAGAACTAAATGCCTAGGAAAACGGCCACAGACAATTCCATGTCAGTGAGACCGTAAATCCACTCCAGGCCTTACTCTGAATTTTAAATTTGCTATCCATGAAGTTAAAGCTGACCTCACAGATAGGTTCAGCACCTTGGAGAGCACTTCTGTGAAGTTTGTGTTAATACCCAGGCAGGGTTTTTACCTGGACTGACAGGGAAGTTGCCAACTGGCACTGCTAAGACAGTGGTGCAATTTAGGGGTTGCAAAGTTTGGAGCAAGAGGGTGACTTATGTAGTCAGCTCTCTACATTTGTGGGTTTTACTTTGTCAAGTTTTATTATTCACATATTTGATTAAAACATTAGCTCTTGGAAATTCTAAGTCAGTGGTTCTCAACCTTCCTAATGCCGCAACCCCTTAATACAGTTCCTCGTGTCGTGGTGACCCCCAACCATAACATTATTTTTGTTGCTACTTCATAACTGTAATTTTGCTACTATTGTGAATTGTAATGTGATTTGAAGGAAGTATTTTCATTCACTGGACCAAATTTGGTACAAATACCCAATACACCCAAATTTGAATATTGGTGGGGCTGGGGGCAGGCCTGTAGCGAGGGGGTGGTTTTAGGGGTTCAACCCCCCCCCGAAATGTTTCAGATTTTTTTAAAAAACCTGGTTTACTCATGAATTTTAACTGGTTAACCAAATCCCAATGCTAAGAACTGTAAGCACTATCTCAAGCAAATATTGATAATTTATTCACACTGTCATTACTTGCAGCAATAGCCGATGTAGTGAAGCAACCAAGTTGGGTGTGTGTGTTGAATGCTCTCATTAAGGAGGCCAGACTTGGTGGAGGTGGTTGACAGGGGTGGAGCTGCAGGCTATTGAAGGTTGCTCTGCCCCCTGCTGTGCTCTTTGCTTCAGCGTGAGCTAGGAGGCAGGTTTCAACCCCCCCCCCAAATTTTCAACCCTCCCCGAAATTTTCAAAACCGCCCCTTGAAATTGTCAACCCTCCCCGAAATTTTTTTCTGGCTACGGCCCTGACTGGGGGGGATTTATTTTGTCATTTGGGAGTTGTAGTTTCTGGGATTTATAGTTCACCTACAGTCAAAGAGCATTCTGAACTCCACCAACGATCAAATTGAACCAAACTTGGCACACAGAACTCCCATGACCAACAGAAAACACTGGAAGGGTTTGGTGGGCATTGATCTTGAGCTTTGGAGTTGTAGTTCACCTACATCCAGAGAGCACTGTGGACTCAAACAATGATGGATCTGGACAAACTTGGCATGAATACTCAATATGCCCAAATGTGAACACTGGTGGAGTTTGGGGAAAATAGACCTTGACATTTGGGAGTTGTAGTTGATGGGATTTATAGTTCACCTACAATCAAAGAGCATTCCAAACCCCACCAATGATAGAATTGGGCCAAACTTCCCACACAGAACCACATGACCAACAGAAAATACTGTGTTTTCTGATGGTCTTTGGTGACCCCTCTGACACCTCCCGGGGTTATGAACTTTAGATTGAGAAAAGCTGTTCTAAGTCATCCAGTGCAACTATATGGTCCATTTCCTTTAAAAGCTGACTGTAGAGTCAAACTGGAATACTTAGGGTTTTTCACTTTCATGGGGTCCTGTGCCCCTAACCCCAGCAAATGTGTAGGGCTCACTATATTTGAAATGTGGTGCTTTAGGAGAATTCTGTGAATGCCCTGGACTGCCAAGAAGACATATAATAGAGGAAATCAAGCCTGCATTTTCCTTGGAAGATAAGGTGACTAGACCAATGTGTTGCATTTAGAAAACAGGTCTTATTTGAGGAGGAAACAATGCTTGGGAAGGTGGGAGGCAGCAGGAAAAGAGAAGACCACTCTGCAGGTGGATTGATTCAAACAAAGGAGCCATGGCTCTCATTGTGCAGGATCTGAACAGGGCAGTTGATAACAGGGGTTGCCAGAGTTGATAAAAGGTTGTCGATCTGGAGGTCTCTCATTCATAGGCTCACAATAAGGCAGAGACAACCCGACAATAAATAATAACAAAAAAAATGCCCCAAATATGCCCCTTTCTGGGTTCATATGCATTAGTACATAAGAAAACCCTTTGCTGTGTATAGTAGCAAAGGAAAAGAATTTAATCTGTCAATCTAAAAGCAGCACCTCCTCAAACAAAATCCACAGAAGGGCCCCAAACCTATTATGTATTTATACAGGGGGTGCAGTGAACCATTGGGCAGAAGCAAGGCAGTCAGGTGGAAAATGCAGAAAAACAAAAAAATCTATTCACTTTGTGTGTACAATAAAACTCCCGTATCCCCAGGAGAATATTCTTGAACTTACTGTGGAAACAGAAAACTGCAGGTTACAACAAACCCCATTGAAATAAATTTCTACTGGATGTTATCATAGAATTTTTGGAGTACCCATAAATTCCTAAGGTAAAGGTTTTCCCATGACATTAAGTCCAGTCATGTCCGACTCTGGGACTTGGTGCTCACCTCCATTTCTAAGCTGCAGAGCCAGCATTGTCCGTAGACATCTTCAAGGTTATGTGGCCAGCATGACTGCATGGAGCGCCATTAAATTCCTAGAGATGGCTTATTTTGTCATATACAGGTCTGTGAAATAACAAATAACTAGTCCCACAGGCAGAGTATATGAAATTATATTGGATGTCCAAGAGGGTTCCAGCCAAGGAGTAATTGCAAGATCACAAAGTGTGGACACTGTGTGACATCTTAAAACTGCCTCACCTGCCCCACGACACACTGGGTGGCCAGCAGATGGATGACACTTCTAGTCAGGAAATGGGTCACTGTAAGTACTGTAGCTTCACCGTTGTCAAAAAAGGTGTCACTCTTCTTTAAGTAGAGCAGCAAAGGGAAAGAATTTAGACTGTCAACCTAAAAAAAGCACTGACTTCCTCAACATTTTGTTTCTCCACCGTTTCTGGCGTTTTTGAATGCTTGGGCAGGGGAATGGCAGTAACACCAGACAGAAGCGACGGTTCCCTTGTGGTGGCATTGGTGCATTCCCCTCTTATATATGTGTGTGAGTGAGTGAGTGAGTGAGTGAGTGAGAGAGAGAGAGAGAGAGAGAGAGAGAATGTGTGCTAAAGAAGAAACAATGAATGTAACTTCTGGTTGAACAGATATGCCTCTTCCTAAAGTGAGATGGATTAAAAATTAATGTATTGTGAACCAAAAGAGTGAAATAGACAGATCCCAGCCTATAAAGCCCTAAATGGGGCCGGCCCAGCTTACCTGTCTGAACATATTTCTCCCTATGAACCATCTAGGAACTTAAGATCAGCTGGGGAGGCCCTGCTCTCAGTCCCACCTTCTTCGCAGGTGCGACTGGCAGAGACAAGAGACAGGGCCTTCTCAGTGGTGGCCCCTTGGCTGTGGAACTCCCTCCCTAGGGATATTGGATCAGCCCCCTCCCTCCTGACCTTCTGGTAAAAAGTAAAAACCTGTCTTTTTTTAACAAGCATTTGAAACGCAGTGCAATAGACAAACATGGAACTATGTGATATCGAATTGTGGGATGGCTCAGAGTGGACAACGAGATTAACAGTGAAGGCATTGGTTTAATGTTTTTAATGGTTTTATTGTATGTATTTTACCAATTTGTTTTAAATGTTTTAATTGTTTTTTGTTATGGCATCAAATGGCTGCCTGGTTGTAAGCCGCGTTGAGTCACCTTCGGGTTCAAGAAAGGTGGGATAGAAATATCGTAAATAAATAAAGTGGAAAAAGAAAGAGTCAGTCACAAAAGGATTTTGTTGAAAAATAAATTTATTTACAGGGCAGGATCCCAGAGATTCATCATAAAAAATAAACAGGATCCACGCCCCAGTGCAGAGGTATCCAGAGAGGAACGGACCCCCATCACCCCTGGCTCAGGGATCAAGATCAAATCAACAATAAAGAAGACCAGGGAAGAGGAAACTGTGGTAGATCAACTTCAGCATTTTGCAGGACAGACAGACACCCCAGAAGGGACAGGATCCTGGTAAAGTATCTATCTCAGACACAACAGTTGAATCCCTGGGTATTGCCCTGTTCTTCCCATGTTGTCTTAACCAAATCCCTGCCACATTGGCACTCCGTTAGGACTCAAAAGTGCCAAAGAGATAGAAAGAAAAATCCTGAACAGCATAGACCCAGCAAAACCAGCGGAGACCCGAAATACAAAGGGAAGCATGTTCAAGCGAGGAAGGCAAAGTGGTCACACCCTTCTCTGGCCACTGAGATACTGCAGGATGCTGTCTGGCCACACTTTAAATGGCATATGATGGGATTTGGCTAATGCTAGATCTCACAACCTGAAAATGAAACAAGCATTCTGGATAATGTTGAGTTGGGGGGAGATATTTGAAGTTCAGGTTGAGCCAATATGAGATTTTTATTAAAACGGGATGGAAGAATACACCCTTCTCCCCCTGGCCCCTGTTATTATCTGGGTAAAGCTTTACTGGGTGCCAGCTCTGTGGATTGAGATTTAAGAGACTCCCCTGGCTGAGGTCAAACATAAATCTGAAGAGTTGAGTACACATCCGCATAGAAGCTTTCCATTCCAATTTATTACCATAAGTGGTCATATTGATTTTTGATCCAGGCTGGCTCCAACAATACTTTATACGCCAACAGAGTTCGGAAAACTGTATTGCAAGATACAACTCCCAGAATCTCTCATCCCTGATGCTTGATGGTTGTGCTGATTGGGAGGCCGAGGGAGTTGTGATCTGAAAAATCCTACTTTTTCCTTATTTTTTACATACTTCAAAGGTCATTCTCTCCCTTGTATCTCCACTCCTACCAGACCAATTTAGAGAACTGTCTTGTAAATAAAACATGATGCTCTAGGATAGTGGTTCTCAACCTGTGGGTCCTCAGGTGTTTTGGCCTATAACTCCCAGAAATCCCAGCCAGTTTACTAGCTGTTAGGATTTCTTGGAGTTGAAGGCCAAAACATCTGGGGACCCACAGTTGAGAACCACTGCTAGGAACATGGGTGGTGGTGAGGTCTTTCTCACACCCTGAATCCTCTCAGGCTCAGAGAACAATGTAATATTGAATGAATGCAAATGAATGCGATGTTATCAGCAGAAGCAGTCAATTTGAACTCTCTCCCATAAAAATAAACATCCCTAACTAGCTTTTTAGATCTGTCCAGAAAATTTGTTTCAAGGGAGCAGAAAAAAATGTACACACAGAGACAATTTCAAACCGCACATTCTAGGAAAATATATGGCACTTAAATCCTTTCAAAGAAGGCGGTAGTTGATTTCAAGAAAATCTTGTGGCATCTTGAAACTAACAGGTTTATAGCAGTATAATTTTTTTGTTGGACTAGAATTCACTTCATTTGACTTTGTGACCCTAGTCCCTGAAAGTTTATGCTCCAATAAATCTGGGAGACTTTATGGTTCGGCAAAACGATTAAAGTTCATTCTGCTTATTGCTCAACCAAAAAGGTTTTCCTCATTTGGAGTCTGGTTTTGTTCTCACTTGCTTGCTCTGGTTCTACAAGCTTTCTCATGAGAAGTGAAATATGTTTCATCCATGTTGCCTGACAGGCTAATTTTGGAATCTGTCAGTCCTACATCCAAGATTTGACTATTCATTCTCATGGCACAAAGAGGTTTGCTTATTCCCCAACCCTGCTGTGACTGAAAAATATGGAGGGAGGATTATGTCAAATTGGACCTCTAAAGCCTCACCCAAGTCCCTATCCTGATTCACTGAAACCATTTCTATGGGAGAAAAGATCAATTTTACAATTATAAAGAAGCCAATGAACCTTTGCCAATACTGCATTGTTCTGGTGAATGAAAAAACCTCACATGTTCATTTCTACCTCTTGTTGTTGTGCTCCTTCAAGTCATTTCTCATTCATAGCAACCCAATCACAAGGTTTTCTTGGCAGAATTTGTTCAGAGAGACATTGCCTTTGCTTTCCCCTGAAACTGAGAGAGTAGGAACTGTTTAAGGCAGTGGTTCTCAACCTGTGGGTCCCCAGATGTTTTGGCCTACTATTCCCAGAAATCCCAGCCAATTTACCAGCTGTTAGGATTTCTGGGAGTTGAGAGCCAAAACATCTGGGGACCCACAGGTTGAGAACCACTGGTAAGGTCTCCCAACAGGTTTCTATAGCTGAGTGGGGATTCAAACCCTAGTCTCCTAACATCTTACTCCAGCACTCAGACCATACTGTCTTTCTCTGCCTGTTGTATCCCTATTTTAAAAAGGGGGCATGGACTGATTGTATCGATTAACTGATTGGGGATTGAGAAGGGCAGGGTACAAATATTTGAAATAAAATAATAATTGATTGAATTTGTACCTCATCTTTCTCTCGGGATGACATCCAGGATGGCTTTCAGTAATTTAAAATTATGTCTCAAATTTAACAATCTCAAAATGTTGGATGACCAGATGAAAAAGGAAAATAGTGCTTAAAATACAAAGGCCTGCCTTAATTTGCAACCTATCTAGTGGTTAGTTTTGAGGGATTGTAAAACATTTTGTTCTGAAAAGCACCTCAGGGATCCCAGCTACAAAAGCCGTCCTTTGGTGTCGTATTAAAGAAAAAGGATGTCATGGCTAGTGTTTGGAGATAAGAGCATCCTTTGGTTCCTGAAAGCAGCTGCCATCCACAAAGCAAGGAAGACATCTCTAGCCCCAGGAGTGGCACTCAGGGCAAACCTTCCCTTTCTCTTTCATAGGAGAATGGCTGCCAATCATCGCTATGGAGAAAAATAGGATTCTGCTCTTGCACACCATGGCAGAAAGAGGAAAAACTACCTGCTTGACATCCCTAACAATGGTAATATGGACTCTTCCCTGACATCCTTTCATACAAGCAGCACCATGCTATGCATTTATTAACAATGTAATGGAATGCAATAGCAGATCAGCTTTCCTGTTTTACAAACTGGTTCATAATGATACGGCAAAGTGTTGGCCGAGTTAATTTCTTGGACCACAACTCCCAGAAGCCCTCAGCCAACACATTTACTATGGAATTTTAGAGCATATCATTCAAAAAATAACTTTATCCAATATCTGGTATAGTAAAGGATTGCAAAGAATTGCAGACTGAAAACCAAAAAATTTTTCCAGGACATGTAATGGTTGTTCAGAAGAGAGGGTTTCGGCAAGTGTTGCTTGTGACTTGTCACACAAACATTATTTGCTGAAACTCCCTCTTCCAAGCAACCATTAATGGTATAGAATCCATCTCTAGTTTTCAATCTGGCAACCCTACTCATGACATTAAGTCAAGAAAGATTTTACCTAAGTAAATCCACTTCCCTGCAATCCTGTCTTATTTACATCCTCCCCATGTTGGTCAAACTAACACAAAAGGAGCATGTGATTTAGGAAATGTAAGGGGAGAATGACCCACTGAAAATGTGAGACTGAGCTGAAGAGGAAAGAGGGGCAATATGGTGTTGGACCCCTACAGCCCAGGAGCTGGTTCTAGGAAAAGCGAGAAAGAGGCCATGGACAAAAAGCCTCCTGTTCCTCATTTATCGCTGCCACAGACAATGGAAGAGATGGGGCTTCTTTTGACCCACAGTTGATCAGGGAGAAAAAGTTTGGTTGAGGAAGAGGGATAGGAGAAGAAGGGGATGCTGTGGAAAGGACTGTATCTCTTCCCTCTCTAAGAGATTTCACAGGCTTTTCATTTATGATATCTAATAAAGAAGAATCAGCCCACTCTCTCCTTATATCTCCCTGAATTCTCTCAAGAAGGCCATCTCTTGATCTAGCTTAGTGTATTATATTCTCATGAAAGCACAGTGGTTTCCTGTCTTGCCAAATGGACTCATAACACAATTACTCATGGTATCTCATTAAGATACAGAGGTGAAATGAATCGGATTCAGGGCATGCAGTCCCATGAATAATGCTATAAAGAAGTCTGCTGACATCAGGGAAGTTTACATCCTGCAGAATAAGTCTCAGTAAAGAGATTCGGGATTTTTGCCCCCTTGATATCATAGAAATAACCTCAGAATGTGAAACGGGCATTTGGGATGATTCACATCTTTTCTCTTGCATACTTATCTGCTCTAGTCCTTTTGCAGTTACCCCTTGAACATGCTACCGTGTGAGGAATCCTTTTGTTGCATGGGTCAGCACTAATATATGGCTACAGACATTTGTTTTTTTTAGTTTCATTTTTACTCTAGCACAAACGTATTTGAAAGCTGCACAAGTTGAAGGGAGAATCTGAAAGAGTAATAGTAAAAAAGAGAGAGAGCATAGGATAGCAGGGCTTCCACTTTGCTCCTTGGAGCCACACTCTCCCAAGTCCCCCGGGGACTTTCAAGCAATTAACCCTGAAGGCAAAACTTCAGGATGGAGAGTGTACAAGTGGGCCTTCATCCTGTGCCAAAGAGTTTGTAAAGCTAATCCACTGGGTGCTCTCAATAAAACTGGGACAGGCCCAATGGCACCTCCATGAGAAAAAGAGAGAAAGGCTCACGGTGGAGAGCCCATGATTTGAGACAACCATCCTCAGATGGTGTCAGCACTGTGTAGGCTTCCACATGGCTTGACCACTGCTGGTCAATCATGGCTTGCGTGACCTACTCATTGCTTGCATATGGTGTACTCCAAAATGTAACCATACTTCACTTACAGTTTACATATAACAATATTTGCATTTTACTGATTGTTTACTCATGGCTTCCCTGTGGTTTGCATGGAGGATGGCTAAAGTGAAACCACAGGTTACTATGAAATCAACACTGCAAGTTCATTGTTTACAAATACTTACTCACGATGTACTAGTGAGTTACACAAAAACTTGCCATGGTTCACGTAGTTCACCTGGCACACACTCTGCTGAGGGGCCTCCACAGCAGTGGCAGCAATGTGTATGCTGTTGGACTCAGCCACACAATGTATTATTGTTCCACACGCACATTTTCTATTATGTACTCATGGCTTATGCATGGTGTACTCACAGTTTGCTTTAAAGCACAGCTTACTTTATACACAAATCACATATGATTTACGCACAATCTTGTCCATAGTAACACTCATGGTTTGTACCTGATTGATTTGCAGATTGCTGTTTACACAAAGTGCCTTAATTTATTAAATACATCTGTAAACCACCCCTCGTAAAGCACTTAAGATGACTCCCCATAGGAGGCAATATGGAAGTGCAAAAAATTCAATTGTTATGAGAATTAAATGCTACACAAAGGGATGAATAAGATCAACCATCTTTTTTTTTTCTAGGTTAAAAATGCTTGCTTTCAAAGCCAGCCCCAAATCTGCCATTGAAAATGCAGTCAGGCCAAATCTTGAGTCTGTTACCTATCTGCTATTCTACCTCCACTTGCTTTGCTCAAGAGAGTTGCAAGAGCAGATTCTAACAGATCAGCTACAAAAATGCTGAATTAAGCCTGTTGAAGTCAATCTGCAAGTGGGTGTCGACGAATCAGGGTCAAGCTGAATGCAAAGTGTGATCTCCATTGATCACCTCAAAAAAGGGCAATCCGATCTAAAAGCAAAAGGGTTATAGAATAGTTGCTCCCTACCCTTACCTTGTCCATAAAATACCTCCCTGTTCTCTGACCCACATGGGAGTTTTCTCCAAGCTCTTTCTGCGATTATTTAGTCTGTTGAGAAGCAGCTGAGCATCATTGCCAATTGAGTTCCTGAAGATTTTCAGAGGATTCTGGGGTATGCAGGCCATGCTGTCAGGGGGTGATTGGCATGGTGTGACACATCTGGAGGACACCAGGGTGGGAGCAACTTTCTAAAAGAAAATCAAGGCTACCTTATAGCTGCAAATACCAGGGAACATCAATAATGGTGGGCAAATTCTCTCACAGAGGAGCCCATCCACTATGACTACACTTCTTGCTGGGAACCATTTGAAAACCACTGCTTTGGACAATGCATCTAAAGTTTCCTTTCCACTTAAAAACAGACACAAAAGCACAACTGAGGAGCTAAGCTCTTCCCTTTCCCACCTTACTTTATAAGAACTCCCATTGTCCCACCACCCCCAGTTTAGAAAATAGATATCAAAAACAGATCAATAAAAAGATAAATATAGCTCTGAAGCCATCTACTTTTCTCTCAGTACAACTCTTTCAAGAATAGATAAAACTGTGATACATATAGATAGATATAGATATACTCTGTGAAAAAATAGAAGGCGCTGGGAATTCGAATCACAAATCATGTGATATTTCTGAAATGGCATCCCCTCTATATCACTAACAAATATTTATGGGAAAACCCCACAAACCTCACAATCAATAAGTCATTAAATCTTCACCATCTGAGGATCTGAATTACAACAAACCCACCTCATAAGGAGGCACAGCCCTTTGGTACAGAGTCACAAATTCCCTTATGATGCATCTGGAAGGAAGCAAGGAGCTGGAAAAAGAGGCCAAACTTCCACTGCTTTCAAAAATCCCTTCCCCATGCCCTCACCACCACCTTTTTTTTTGGTTGCAGAGGATTTGTATTAGTTGCTTCCAGGGTGACTCAAGAGCTGGAAGAAACTGAAGAGGTATGAGATGTTTGGACATTTTCCTTAGTGGCCAATGGGTAAGTAAAATTCCCTCATCCGATGGCTAATATCATAAAATCTCTCCAATAATGAAGGTATGAAAACAGGGGGAAACCGTCAAAAGTAGACAGGGCGAAGGCCTCCCTGTGGCCATTTTCTGTGGTGGCCTTTGGTCGTCTGGAAATAAATTACGGAAACCCATCTGCAAAAAGAGAAAGTTCCCCTTGAAATCAGCAACAGGACTTCCATTTGCTGGTTTCCACATTGACGAACTGGTGACCACTGGCCTTCAGGAAGTGCATCAGGGGTGGTGAGAAGTAAGATTGCCAAGACCTCCATAGCTGTAGCATTAGTGTCAAATGGAGCATTTGACATAACCAAAACAAATGCTAGAAACATCTTCCTCAATAAACTTTGGTCAGCAGTGTTTAGCCAAAACAAACATGGCGGACATTGCTACCTTATCTAAGCAAAGCTGTACATGATGGACACCACGTCCTCTTATAATGTTGCACAGCACATTCCTTTCCCCCAAATCAAATCATGACTGAGGCAGCACTCTTTCACAGAGTCTGAAGACACGTGATCAACACTGCTGCCTCTTCATTCAGCCACAAGAGTTGTGTGTCTAACATTGGCATTGTTACTCCTATCCAGGCAAAAAACAAACAGGGCTGTAATTCCACAGCCCACCTATTCACTCAAAGCAAAGATTGCTTATAAACTGATCATTGCCCAGCTGAATTGGCTACACAGCCACAACAAATATGGCAGATGCTTATATACAGCCCCAGTAAACAGGGCTGGCAGGGTCTACAGTACAGACCTCTGAGCTCCAAATAAATTGGCAAGGAGAGAAAGATGGGATGTAATGAGATATTCAAGTTGCCTTGGATTGTGATAGGAGTGGGATGACCTTCTTGCATTGAGTGGTCCCTCAAACACATCTCTCCATTAAGAGACTGAATGCTAAGACAGAGCTCCAAAAGGAGCCCATTTTGCCACATATGAACAACCCTTAACCAGAGAGGAGACCAAATAAAGAAGATTGTCTCCTCTTTGCCCCAAAAAAATTATTTGAGGGCCATATGAAACATTTCAGAAAGAGGCAAATGCATCACCTCAGCTTCTTGGCTTGAAGGAGACAGCATTTGGTTTCAAAGGAGAATCCTAGTATATCCAAGGACATTTGGATGAATCTGCTGGCTATGTCATGTTCATCCCTCAAGTGAACCTTCTATGACTCAACCACGACGTCTTCCGGTCAACGAAAGGACATGTAGCAGTCCAGCCAGGTAAGCAATCCCAAGTGCTTGGAAGGAATGTCCCGCCAGCTCTTTGACAGGAACATGGGAGGCCATGATGGAGAGGAGAAACATTATGGCTTCTGGGGCCCAGGAGACAGGACTACAGGAGTGGAAAGTCCATCCACGCTGAGTGTAGGGATGTGGATTTGTGAGCTAGAATTGCTGGGAAACTGAGAGAAGAGGAAGGAAGCTTAGAACAGGTTATATACATAATAACACCCATCATGATATTTTTTTCAGTAAGATTTGCTTAGAGGGGGTTCAGCCTTTGCCTTCCTCTAAGGTTCAGAGAGTATGACTTCTTCAAGTTCACCCAGTGGATTTCCATAGCTAAGGAGAGATTGAACCCTGTTATCAAGAGTCCACAGGTCAACTCATGAGCACATGCTGACGTCTCTTAGAAGCATAAAGATATCATATTATTTCTTCCCACACTAATTTCTTTTTGGTGGAGTTGTGGAGGGAGAGCACAGCCAGTGACAAACCTCTAGCTTCCATGTGGGTTACATCCAGAACGTGGTATCATTTTTTTAGAATATAATTTTTGAAATCCCTTATCCATTAAGTTGAGTGGCTAGGAGATTCTGGAAATTACAGGCCAGAAAGGGACCTTTTTCAATGCTCTGGTTACACCCTGACTTTATGTCAGTGATTCTCAACCTGGGGTCCCCAGATGTTTTTGGCCTCCAACTCCCAGAAATCCTAACAGCTGGTCAACTAGCTGGGATTTCTGGAAGTTGTAGGCCAAAAACACCTGGGGATCCCAGGTTGAGAACCACTGGTTTATGTGACAGAAAGACTCGGCCACAAACAGTATAAGGAGGTATACGCAGCCATACAGCTGATAACCATTTCCCACAGAAATGTCACGGTTTGACACAAAAGGCACATTTAAACATCATAACATGACCTGCTGGTTAATCACTTCTGCCTTTGGTGTGAGCAGCTAAACCAGGCCTGGTCATTTTTTCCTCCAGAAGAGGAGATAACAGAGGGAACCAAAGGTAAAGAGAAAGAAAGTGGCAGAGGCAAGAACTGAATCACTTATTTTTTCCCTCAGAAAAGGGCTGCAGCCTGCCACTACGCTGAGGGGAAGCAGGGAAATAGAGTCTATTTCACTTTGCTGTTTGCTCTGAGAGAAAGACACCCTGTCGCACACTGTGAGTGAGCTACTAAAAAGCTGAGCTAAACAGACTAGGGACCTTCAGACCCTGGTGTCTATAGTGTAACATTGGAACCCAGTAAAAATAGTACCTCCATGTCAAGCTAGAGAAAAATCCAATTTCTCTCTGATTTGATGAGAGAGGAAGAAGCTAGAAGCTAGAGGCCAGGCCCTAGCTTCTTCCTCAACAAACCACATGCCACTTGTGAACAACAAGCCACGGTTCTTCGTTTGCGTTGGTATGACAGCTATCCAAGCTATGGCCATTCTTGGACAGGGAAAGCTTAGCAATGCTCACTCATTCAGGGGTAGTGTCACATTGCAACATGAGGTCAAGACGTCACAATTGACCTCAGGTGATACACACAGCTGCAGATTTTGACAAACCCACAACATATAACATTGTACCATATAAGAACTGCACTCCCCATTGTTTATAAGCATCCAGATTAGGTTTCTAATAACACGTATTCCACTCATTCCTTAAGGCTCCAATTCCAATTAATGTCTAACAATTTCCATGGCTTTCATCAAAACTGGAACCCATTGCTTTCAGTGCTGGATAGATATTCGCTACCTGGGGCTTCAGGTGGGGCCTGTGATACATTTGGTAGTTCTATATAAGCCTGTTTCTTTTAGTTAACTGAGTATAACACCACCACTATAATTTTAAAGTGCTCTTACTTAGGTATTTTATAATTAATACTTTTTTGTGTCAGGAGCGACTTGAGAAACTGCAAGTCGCTTCTGGTGTGAGAGAATTGGTCATCTGCAAGGATGTTGCCCAGGGGATGCCCAATGTTTTACCATCCTGTGGGAGGCTTCTCTCATGTCCCCGCATAAGAGCTGCAGCCTACAGATGGGAGTTCACCCCGCTGCTCAGATTCAAACCACCGACCTTTCAGTTAGCAGTCCTGTCGGCACAAAGGATTAATCCATTGAGCCACCAAGGGCTCCTATAATTAATACTGAACAAGTTGCTCCATTCTAATTAGTTCTTTAAGTATCAACAGTCTTTTCTCATCAGCTACAGGTGGGTTAAACCCCTGTGCCGGCAGGACTGAAGACCAACAGGTCGCAGGTTCGAATCCAGGGAGAGGCGGATGAGCTCCCTCTATCAACTCCAGCTCCTCATACGGGGACATGAGAGAAGCCTCCCACAAGGATGATAAAAAACATCAACTCATCCATGCGTCCCCTGGGCAACGTCCTTGCAGATGGCCAATTCTCTCACACCAGAAGCAACTTGCAGTTTCTGAAGTCGCTCCTGACACGACAAAAAAAAAATCAACTACAGACAGTCCCCAACTTACAAACTTAAGAACAAACAAGACAGTTTCTGTAGGTTTGTTCTTAAGCAAATTTGTCTGCAAGTCAGAACAGGTACTTTTAAAAAGTGTAACACTCTATTATTACTGGATTTTGAAAATATTGGCTTTCCTATGGGTAGATTTCTCTCAGTTCCTATTGTCTCACTCCCATTTGTAACTATGAGTCATTTGTAAGTCAAATGTTTGTAACTTGGGAACTGCCTGTATAAAGATTAGAAGGAACTAATTTATACATAGCTTACAAGCCCAAACCAAATTTTAGATTCCATTGTTTCTCCATAGAATTGTAAATAAGTGAATTGCACAGGAGTCTGGTTAGGAATGTGCCATCCTCCAGATGTTGCTGGACTGCAACCATAAAGAGTCCTAGCTACCAGAGACCAGGATGAGATACAATGGGAGACAGTTCAACAGCATCTGAAGGGCGAAGAATTCACACCTTTAGCATCTCTCCTTTATGACCCAGTACTAGACTCATGTCATCAACCTTCTAAAGTCCACCCAGCTGAATCCCCAGACTTTTTCACAGCCGCTAATTCCAGGCTAGAGGTTTCCCAATTCATCTTGCCCTTCCTTAAGCATATGCATCCTAAGTTGTGTAGATGGCCTACAATCGTAGCTCATACCTGGAAAGAGAGCTTGGCAGGACTTCGTGGCGCAATGGGACTCAATGTGCTCCAGAAATGGATGGTGGGTGGCAAGGAACTTGGTGTGAGGAGAACAGGGGTCTGCAAAGAAGAAAAACAGGATGTCATCACCAAACACAGAACTGCCTTTCCAACAATTATGGCTCCATGTACCCATTCCACCAGACAGTTTTCACTTCAGTAACTTTGAGAAGGATCAAGTTAGCTTAGCAAAGCAGAACGTGAAACACAGAAATTTAGGGGCAGACAGAGCTGCACTTCCCAACATCCTCTCTTTTCAAAGGATTTAAAAGTGTGGGAGCATTTTCCTTCATGTGAGGTGTAGGATCCAAGTAACTTGTGAACAATAAGAGACTAGGATGTAGCAGCGTTCAATAGATGTCTCAGGTTACAACTCCCTTATCCAACATCATCAGGACTGTGGTGCAGCTGGCTGGGAGTCAGCTACATTAAGAACACTACTGACCGAAAGGTTATGAGTTCAAAGCCAGCCCGGGTTGGAGTGAGCTTCCGACCATTGTGTAGCTTGTTGTCGACCTTTCCAGCCCGAAAGACAGTTGCATCTGTCAAGTAGGAAATTTAGGTACCACTTATGCGGGGAGGCTAATTTAACTAATTTACAAAGCCATAAAAATCTCCAGCAACCATGCAAAAGTAATGAGGAAGTACTCCATCATTGTCACTCATGGACTGTGAAGTGACAGCTCTTCTCATGGCCAGAATACCCTCATGAAAGCTGGAATGTTAAATAGCCTCTGTGTGTCTGTCTATATATGTTGTGTGTCTATGGCATTGAATGTTTGCCATGTATGTGTACATTGTAATCTGCCCTGATTACAATGAGAAGCGAAGAATATAAACACTGTAAATAAATACAGTGAGAAGCGAAGAATATAAACACTGTAAATAAATAAATAAATAAATAAATAATAAAGTTACGGTTCCTTAACTGTAAGATGCCACTGAATAAAATACGCACCCTACTTTTAGTACTCAACACCAATAAAAATACATAAGATACAGCTGTGATTGTAAGACGTATCCCATTTTTAAAATGTTTATATAGGAAAAAGTGAGTCTTTGAATTGAAAAAATACACTAACTGAGGAAGATCGGGAGAGTACCAGCTATAGGAAGTGGGTGTGCTTTGATAAGACTTTTGATTCAACTTATATTGAAGCCTTTGCAGTAGCTTTCTCCTCGAGATATCTTGCTATTGAATCTCTTTATAAAAAACTGAGGGAGGAGATGGGAATGCAACTCCTGTACATTTACTAAGGACTTTAAATCATGCCAGTCTGTTGCCTCATCACAATTACTTGATTTAAACAAAGAGAAAAATACCATTATTAGAACGATCTCTTTCACATTTTGTCACAATTGCATAATGCTAGCATTTTGTTGATGTGAATTCTCATGACAGTCCTCCACACAGCTTCCTTTCCTACCTGTGCTTGCCCTACTCAGCACATGTGCACTGCGTTTCCCCTCCCCCCTCTATTTTTCCACACTGAGACATCACACTTATCTAGGTTACTAGGTAATCTAGGTTACTACATGAAGGTCCAATTGGTGATAGGCAGTAACCAAAAGACGCGGATTTAGGAATTATAGACAAGAAAATATCACTGGGAAATGTGTATACATCCCATTCAAATCGGGTATGGCCCTGCCCAAAATGAACAGATCCAATCTTGAAATAACTCCTGAGTTCTAAACCCAGTTCCTGGGGGAAAAGGGAAGTTCTGTGGGACCCAAAGATAAACACAGTCTCACCAGTGCATGAGTGGAAATAACCGTGGTGGGGGTCAAGGTACTACTCCCTGTCCCTCCAGGAGCCAGAAGACTGTTCACAGCAGCATTCACTTTCTCTGGAGTTGGCAATGAAGGGAGTTCCAAGACTTTGGGCTTCTTGCCCTTCTGGGGTTGTCCTTCGAGAGATGTGGCTACTGGACTGGGGGACGGAGCTTCTTCTTTCAGCAACCCTTCCTCTTCCTCCAGGGACACTGCCGCCTCCAAAGCCACCTTCTCTAGAGAGGCTTTCTCAGAAGGTTGGGTCTCCTCTTTAACTCCAGCATTCATGATAACGAGCAGAGCAGCTGCCTCTTCTTCAAGGTCCAGGTTCTCCTCAACCTTCACTAAAACCTTCTCATCGAGGGCTGGAGTCTCCAAGGGCGTGGGCTCTACTATGACCTGGGCAAGTAGGAGAAAGAGAAATGCAATGGAGATATCACTCAGACAATCTCTCTCTTTGAACTTGCTTCATAGGAACTTAAAACTTTTGAGGCAGGCAGGGGGCAACTCCCCAAATTTCTGGAAATGTTGTTGTCTAAATATGTTACTTTCCCAAACTTTCCTGTAAGTTCTGCTAATATCTGATCCTACTTTATGAAATACGCACCCTATTTTCAGTACCCAACTCAACCAAGGTTTTAACGTTTTTAACATTATATCTTGTACATCTGGCCCGCCCTTTGTGATTGTTTTTATTATGTTATTTTGTACTGTCTATTTTATTTTGTTGTATTATGTATTTGTTGTGTTTTCTATTGTTTTGTATATTTTTTTTTGTATTATTTTTGGGCTTGGCCTCATGTTAGCCACCCCGAGCCCCCATTGGGGAGATGGTGGCAGGGTACAAATAAATATTATTATTATTATTATTATTATTATTATTATTACTATTACTATTTCTATTTTAAAAAATCTGGAGAACAGGATGCAAATCCTCACTCAGACATGAAAACCCACTGGATGACCTTGAGCAAGTCAAATACTGTTAGCCTCAGGAAACACACTGCTTATCTCCATTTCTAAACCGAAGAGCCGACATTGTCCACAGACACCTCCAAGGTGATGTGGTCAGCAAGACTGCATGGAGCGCCGTTACCTTCCTGCAGAAACGGTACCTGTAGACCTACTCACATTTGCATGTTTTTGAACTGCTTGGTTGGCAGAAGCTGGGACTAACAGGGGGAGCTCACCTTGTGACAGCGCGTGTGGCGCCACATATATGTAGTACTGTTAGTTGCAGGATTTAAACTGTCATTTTATTCCTGTCTACCTTGTATATGTATAGTTAAATTTCATTGGTTATTATAGCTGTCAATTTATTGTTGTTGTGCACCAATTGGCTTGTTTCCCCAGTTCATTTGTTTAGGCTCCGCCCCTTCCAAGGGAGAAAGGAAAGGTATCTCTCTCACCTTTTTTACCTCAGAAAAAGACTCATTGGATGGACGTGTGCAAAGCTTGGCCCAAAGCCCCTGGTCAAGGCATTTTTTACTACCAACTCTTAGGTTTTTACCCCTGAGTCTTATACTTTATGTTCAAACCCCCTGAACGACATTGTGAAGACCTCAGGCGCCTTCATTCCGGTTTTTTGGCACCATAGAAAGGTTTTGTCCTTCAACATAGGCCACTGAACTGGGGTTGTGGTTTGCTCCGGCATTCACAACCACTGAGAGAGAGGGAACAGGAAAAGCTTCTCAGCTTATAACTCCTAGGACCCTGCATACACCTCGCTCACCAGATTCGAACCACCAACCTTTTTGGTTAGCTCAGTGGTTTAACCCACTGCACCACCAGGGGGCCCTTTAGGGTCACCTTGGAGCGCCTTAAATCAAAAGTGCCTTGAAGACACAATAAAACCGCACAGGTTTCAATATCCTAACTTGTTCGACTATGTTTGAACTCTCAGGTTTTTAGCTTTAATTCATTTTAACCTTGTAAGTCACACTGAAGTTCATGCTGGAAGAAAATCGGGGTATAAACATAATGAATAAAATGAATAAACAAGAAATAAATAAAATTTAAACCGTAAAATGTTATTTATTAATTTTATTAAATTAAATAAATAAATATTAAATAAGTAAAATTTAAACCATCCCTTAATTGTCCTGTTTTCCTTTTCCAGTTTCCTTTTTCCTTTTATGTTGTGCCTTTCGGAAAGTAAGCCAGAAGACAGGGAATATCTTTTCTTCTTTCATTGTTGTTGATGTGTGCCATCAAGTCATTTCTGACTTATAGCAACCCTATCACAATTTTCCTTGGCAAGATTTGTTGAGAGAAGCTTTGCCTTCTCCTGAGGCTCAGAGAGTGTGACTTGCTCAAAGTTTCCACAGCTGGGAAGGCATTCGAAAGTCATAGCCCTATGCTCAGGCCACTCCACCAGGCTGACTCTCTTCTATCTTTTTTTACTGGTAAATACATGTGCTCTTAGTGAGCTTCAACTGTAAAACTGAGTGCAAATACAGTAAGGGCAGGAATGCGAATGATTCAAATCAACTGCCTCTGTCCCTATCAAGTTCTGGCTCTCTTTCAATACCATGGTAAAAGCCCCCGGTGGTGCAATGTGTTAAACCCTTGAGCCAGCAGGACTGCTGACCAAAAGGTCGGTGGTTCGCATCTGAGGAGTGGGGTGAGCTCCCGTCTGTCAGCTCCAGCTTCCCATGCAGGGACATGACAGAAGCCTCCTATAGGATGGCAAAACATCCAGGCATCCCCTGGGCAACGTCCTTCCAGGCGGCCAATTCTCTCATACCAGAAGCGACTTGCAGTTTCTCAAGTTGCTCCTGACATGAAAAAAAAATGTACCATGGTCTCAGTACTTTAAAATAGATGGTAACTATTCCTATAGCTGTTTGATCAGGAATGAGCCCTTTTGTTCCTCCCACATAATTCTATGTAGCACTTTTGACATCACGAAAATCAAGAGCTCGCACCAGTCCCCGAAGCTGCAGATGTGTTTTACCTGCAGTGGCTCCGAAGAGTCCTCTGCTTCCTCAATGCTGATGTGCAACTGTGGCAGATCCTCCACAGCAGCCAGGGGAGGGGGTGGCGGTTCTGGGGGGGCAGCCGGGGGCGGCACCACAGGCAAGAGCTCCGTCTCATGGCGAGAAGAACGCCCAGCGGGGGAAGGCGTCTGCAGCGACTGGATGGTGAATGTGGAATATAACCCAGAGCGCATATATTCATTCCGGCTGCTTCGTGGCGTGCCTGCACCTCCACGGGGGACTTTTGGAGGCCCAAATGCCCCGTCGCCCACTTTGGTTTCACTCTGGACCTGCTCAAGCCTTTTGGTTGCTCCATCTTCCTTCACGCCTTCCATGCTGGAGAGTTCCGGATACGAGACAAACTTGTAGACAAATTTCTGCCCACTGACTTTACGGATAATATTCTGAAAGGAAGAGAGAGCAGTAAAAATTACAGCAGCCAAACATCAAAAGCCAAGTGACCTCTTGAGCCAATTTATGCTTTATGTAACGTTTTACAGAAAAAAAAATAAACCATTTGTCACTGCTGGCCCTAATGTTTGGCAGAAGATGGCTTCTCCAAGCAGCAGCTCTTAAGGAATAGAAAATACAGCCTGTAGATCTTCCTCCTTGATGGAGGACAGAATTCTGTATGCCACATCCTTCAATTGTCATAACTTGGAAGGGAAGAATTTCCTCTGCTATCTCACATTCTCAGCTGCTTTCAAAAATACCCCAGTTTCTCTCTCTTCCTTCTTCTTTCTCCTCAGCTTTCTTCGGTTGCTGCAAAATGAGTTCAAAGTGCAGAAGTACTTCATTTAGCAGGGCATTGAGGGGAGAATGGGGCAAAGTTTTGTCCTTCCCAGTAGACTCAAGCAAAAGCAAACTGCTACAACTTGTTCTAACTGATCTGTTCTTCCTTATTAATAACTATTGCCATCTTGATCAAACTTTGAGGTTGTGGCCACATATGTCCTAGTTTTCATCTGGGAAATGTTGTGGATTATTATCTGCCACATTGCTGATTTAAAGCTTGCTAGAGTTCACCTCTAGCTTGAGATGCAGTGGGAATTCAGTTGAATTTGGTCTCTAGGACAGGGAAGTTGTCTCTGGGACAACATCGATCTCAGCGCCTGCTAGACTTCACACATATGTAGATGCTGCCTCTGTTCACCATATGGATTAAGGCATCTGTATTTTGCACAATGGGTTAAATCCTTGTGCCAGCAGGACTGCTGACTGAAAGGTTGACGGTTCAAATCCAGGGAATGAGGTGAGATCCTTTCTGTCAGCTCCAGCTTCCTATGTGGGGACATGAGAAAAGCCTCCCACAGGATGGTAAAATATCCGGGCATCCCCAAGGCAACCTCCTTGCAGAAGACCAATTTTCTAACACCAGAAGTGACTTGCAGTTTCTCAAGTCACTCCTGACATGAAAAAAAAAATCTTGTGCTAAACATATTATATTTTTTATATAAAAACCTGCATAAAATTGTATGCCATAGTACTGGTATATTCCCATACTGTACCAGAAGCAAAATTCCTGGGCTTCAATAAATGATCACAGTGACTTGATTGATTTGGTATGATTCATTTGACTTTTGGGGAAAGAATTATTGAACTTCTACCCAAAACCACTGAAAATTTGAAGGTGAAGCAAACATAGTCTGTAAAGAGAAGGTCCCAGTAGATCCTCTACCCATGATAACAGGCACGTTTCCTTCTATCGCTGCACTTATGCATATCAAGCATGTGTTTTGCTAAATCAAAGAGGGGCTCGGCTGCATGGATCATTACCTTCTAAGCCTCACCTTCACATTTCAAGCAGTTCCTTTTATATCCAACGTCTAATATAATATACATCTCACGTACACTTACAGGTTTGTCCTTCATCTTATTATAGGGGGGAAATGAAAGCCTTTTCCAAATTGTTGCTAAACTATTCCTGTGGGTGGAGCTGGAGAGAGGACTGTCAAAAGCATTAGTCATTAGTTGCTATTCACAACTAGCTTTGCTGAAAGTCTTCCACCTCTTCCCCCCACCCCCACCCCAGGCCAGACCTGGAGAGAGAGAGAGAGAAAATCAGTGCCAGCAGAGAAAACACCTTTGATCAAGTGGATCGCTGGTTAAAACCATTCTTACTGATCAACAATGAAAAACCCTCTGTTTTGACACGAAGAGTTCTCCTAGATGTGTTGACGCAAAAGCCATTAGAGCTTGGGACAGTTATAGGCCAATATATCTGTAAAGAAACAGCCGTTTGATACAGAGTTGGAAAGCCTAAATACCCTAATTACACAGATTTTGTCTGATCTTGGAAGCTTTGGTGGGAGACCACCAACAAATACCAAGTATTCAGAGAAAGGAACTGGCAAAACAACCTCTGAGTATTCCTGGCTGAAACAAGCCCTTAAAATTCATAGAGTCAACCATAATTTGAGAGGTAACTTGAAGGTTCATATACACACAAAAACAAACAAGCAATCCTTTGCGTGTGTTGTTGAAGGTTTTCACAGCCGGAATCACTGGAATTGCTGCGAGTTCTCCCACCCTGGACACACCTCACTTGCCTAGTTTCCAACAGACCTCACAATGTCTAGGGATGCCTGCCATAGATGCGGCCGAAACATCAGGAGAGAATGCTTCTGGAACATGGCCATGCAGCCCAGAAAACTCACAGCAACCCAGTCCTTTGCATAATTTTATCACTTGCACTAGATATTGAATCCATAGCTGCAACTGCACACTGCCCTCCCTAGCAATTTTTCCTCTACCAGAACCTAAAAACTTTAGTTTTAAAGCAAATCTGTTTGTCATAACATTAATTCAAAGATGAATTGATTAATGTTCATCTTTTCAATGAATGTTGTAACTTTACTTCATAAGACAGATCATTCATATAATGTGAGTGATACATTATTTTGAAACGTTCTTTAAAATCAATTAAAATGACAAAACATGGTCCAAAATGGCCAACTTATCCTAGATATTACCTGTTATTGAATGAAAGCAATGTGAAATTGCAATTGTTATTTAAAAAAAATGGCAATTGTTGCCACAAAAATAATAACTGTAAAAATCATTGTTAAAACTCTGAACAATTTGTTTTTAGATAAATTCCAAATATTCAGAGAAAGCTAGGATATAAACAAATATTTGCTTGATTGACTGATGGATATCTCACTTTTTTCCAGAACCGATCTTGTCACAGGTCTCTTTGGCGAGATTTGTTGAGTCAGGTTTTGCCTTTACCTTGCTCTGAGGCTGAGAGAGTGTGACTCACCTAAGGACACATGGTAGGTTTCCATGGCTAAGCGGAGATTCAGATGCTGATCACAAGAGCCACAGTCCAATGCTCAAACCTTAATACCATGCCAATTCTCTCAAATCAGCTTACAACATAAATTTGTTTTATATTATGGAGCACAATCACATATCTGAATCAAACTATACTTTTAAGATCTTATCATTTTAAAAATTAAAGTACTGAAATACATATTACATATTAGAAACATTACACCTAATTGAATCTGCCCTGGTCAGTTAATACCAACCACCTATTTAAATAAGAAAGTTTTTGCCTGTTGACAAAAAGACAGCAGAGAGAGAATCTCCCAAGTATGCACATGACTGCACATGAGGACCCATCCACCAAAAGACTATTTTAAATTTCTGGTTGTTATATAAATAACATTGAAAATGGTGGAGAGGTGCAAAAAAGAGAGTAGGAGATAATAGGATTAACCACAGGCTTGGTGAACTTCTACAGAGCACATTCAAGTAGATAAAAGAATAGTCTTCCCACCTTGTCATAATAGTAACGCAGGGCCCGACTTAGCTTGTCATAGTTCATGTTGGTCTTGTTCTTCCTCAGCCCCCACAGCCGTGCAACCTCTTCCGCGTCAATCAACTTGAACTCCCCATCATTGGATGTCCATGTGATGAGGTGCCCGTTGCTTTGCTGCTCCAACAACTGTAGAAGGAACTGCCACAGGGTGACTGAAGGGTCCATGACTATAATGGACAAAGAGCAGAAGAAAGAGGGAAAAAAGAATAGAGAACCCAGTAATGCTGATTCTGACACGGCACCACCGACGGAAATGGCAAGACCAAGTCTGTATACAGTACAAGCCCCATATCTGTGGGGATATGTTACTGGACTATGCATGGATTTGCAGAATCACAGGGAATAACAAAACCTACTGAAATTAAGAACTTCTGGTTAAAGAATACAATAGTGCTGAGCTCAAGAACCTAGAAAATACCCAGAAAGGGAATATATTATTGGACATAGACACATGAAACCACAGATGGGCGAACCATGGAAACAGGGGTCATATTGTATCTGCAAAATCAAGTAAGGCCTTCTGTGTATTGTATACCTCAACTCCCACAATCATTCATCATAAACTATACTGGGCTTCTGGGAGTTGAAATCCAAAACATCTGGAAAGCCACGAGTTCCAACACACAATGTAGCTGCTCCAAATGAAAGTGGTGTGTGTGAGAGAAACCACATAATTTTCAAATATTCCAAGAAGTATAGTGAGACTTCTCCACACATAGGCAAAAAGGCAAGGGACTAAAAATACTTTTTTTTCCTTTCCCATATACAAGGAATCTGGTTTTTATTTTTTATTTCCACTAGAGAGAATTCAGACATAGAATTTCCTCCTCTTGTACAGCCCAGGAAGGATTTACCACTTGATTTTATGTATGTATGTATGTATGTATGTATGTATGTATGTATGTATGTATGTATATGTGTATATACAGATGTTTTGGATTTCAACTCCCAGAAGCCCAGTATAGTTTATGATGAATGATTGCGGCAGTTGAGGTATACAACTAGCTGTATCCATCACGAGTTGCTGTAGCCAACCTTCCCTTCCTCTTTCTCTCCTCCTTTCTTTCTCTCCTTCCTTCCCTCTTTCCTTCCTTCCTTCCTTCTACCCTTTTTTTCTTTCATTCTCTTAGAACAGAAGCTTTTTGAAGCTCTAGGTGCTCTTACTGCCTATTACAGGGAAAACCAGCTGATCCCCAACCCATCTAAAACACAGACATGTGCCTTTCATCTCAAGAACAGACAAGCATCCCGAGCTCTGAAGATCACCTGGGAAGGAATCCCACTGGAGCATTGCAGCGCACCCAAATACCTGGGAGTCACTCTGGACCGTGCTCTTACCTACAAGAAGCACTGCCTGAACATCAAGCAAAAAGTGGGTGCTAGAAACAATATCATACGAAAGTTGACTGGCACAACCTGGGGATCACAACCAGATACAGTGAAGACATCTGCCCTTGCGCTGTGCTACTCTGCTGCTGAGTATGCATGCCCAGTGTGGAACACATCTCACCACACTAAACAGTGGATGTGGCTCTTAATGAGACATGCCGCATTATCACGGGGTGTCTGCGCCCTACACCACTGGAGAAATTACACTGTCTAGCCGGTATTGCACCACCTGACATCCGCCGGGAAGTAGCAGCCAATAGTGAAAGGACCAAGGCAGAGAAATCTCCAGCCCATCCCCTGTTTGGGTATCAGCCAGCACGTCAACGACTTAAATCTAGAAATAGTTTTCTAAGATCTACAGAGACACTCGCTGGAACACCTCAGCAAGCGAGAGTCCAAAAGTGGCAGGCCAAACCCAGAACCTCAACCAATGGCTGATACCAAATGAGAGACTCCCCTGGGCACACAGAAGACTGGGCGACTGGAAGGCACTGAACAGACTGCGCTCTGGCACCACGAGAGGCAGAGCCAACCTTCAGAAATGGGGCTACAAAGTGGAATCCTCGACATGCGAGTGTGGAGAAGAGCAAACCACTGACCACCTGCTGCAATGCAACCTGAGCCCTGCCACATGCACAATGGAGACCTTCTTGCAGCAACACCAGAGGCACTCCAAGTGGCCAGATACTGGTCAAAGGACATTTAACAACTACCAAACTCACAAATTCTGTAATCTGCTTGTTTGCTTTGTTTCTGTTAGAAATGTAATATAATTTGACTGGTTGTTCTGACACGACAAATAATCTTCCTTTCCTCCCCCATTTTCTTTCCCTTCCTCTTTCTCCCCTTTCTTCCTTCTCTACCTATTCTTGGACTGCAACTCCCAGCAGTCCTCCTGATCAATCTACTTACCTATCTCTATCTAATCTATTTATCCTATCTATCTGGAGGATTGCTGGGAGTTGCAGTCCAGGAATAGGAAATTGGAAATATGCAGGGATTGGGATGCTCTCAAAGAAATCCAAGGAGAAGAAAGCTTGCATCTTGGAAGCAGTGCATTTGAATCATCCTCCTCTCCTAAAGGGCCTGGTCTAGGGGATGCTGGGAGCTGTAGTCTGGAAGAGAGTGTGGATATGCTATTGTGTGTTTTGTTTGCTGGGGGCAGTCGTTTTGCACATGCGCTGTAGCATCTTTTTGCTTTTTTGGCTTTTTAAGTCCCTTCCATTGTGTTTTTCAGTGTTTTTGTGAGTGATGGTCACTCGTTGGCCTGATAGGTGTACTGTGTCCAAATTTCGTGTCAATTCATCCAATGGTTTTTGAGTTATGTTAATCCCACAAACTAACATTACATTTATACACAAACACACACCTGTTATCATGACCAATACTACTAGTTCATGGGTTTGGGGATGGTTTCTCTGTCCCACTGAGCTAAGCAGAAGGCTCCTGTTCAGAAGATTTCATCTCATTTTCTGTCCCTATGATAATTGGGATTTTGAAAAAATTGGCTTGTTGTGGAAACAAGGATTGGTGATAAAGCTTCAGTGGAGATACCTTTTTCCCATGATAACTCTTTCAGAAGTGAATTTCCCTTCTTAGGGAAAGATTTCTCTCACTTCCTGTTGTCTTATCTTCGTTCTGAGCTGTGAGTTGTTTGTAAGTTGGATGTTTGTAAAGCGGGGACTGCATGTATATACCTCACTCTCCCTCCAATTCTGAACAAGAAGGCCCAAAATGCCAATTGCAGTAGACACCTATAAGACCTATGATGCTGAAAATTTAAGCAAATCATTCTTATAGATCTCTTTCCTGGGTCCTGGCAGAATAAGGCAACAGCCTCAGTCTGCAAAGAGTGTCATAAAAGGTCAATTAATTTTTAGCTATTTATTTCCATTATATATTTACTGTCTGGCGTGGAGAGAGGCTCTTGTGAGATTGTCTGCCTCAGATGTCAAAATAACTTGGCTGGCTTTGGATGCTAAGCATGTTGGCTTAAGTGAGTGTCAGAGAAGGGGAGAAATTTTCCCTTCATCATATCAAAATAACTATAGAGAATTATGTGAAAACTATAATGTTGGAAATAATGGCCAGTCTCCAATTTGAAATCACCTGTTAGCTCAAAGAATTACAACCCTTGGATTTCCAGAAGGAAATGAGAGTTTAATCTGCAGTAAAGACGTAGCTCAAAATGCCACACAGAAGCATCAGAATGCTCAGGTAATGAGATCACACCATCACTGATATGTTCCCCAGTATCTAGTTGGATGCACGCTCTTCTGGGATCAGCAAATTAGGAAGGCTTTAACTTCAGCTTCTGTAAACACAATTTCTCCCTGGCATAACCAGGTTGCAAAAATTACTCATCCTCAAACAGGTATGTGCTGATCCATTCAGATGTGCTCTTTTCCTACAAATATAGTCCTGACCCAGTTCTTGAGAATAATGATATACTTTGTACTGTGATGCTGAAACAATAGATTACAAGAGACCAGAGAACATTCTGGGGATCAACACACTACTTCTCGGAAACATATAATATAATAACAGAGGTAACAATACCTCTACCACTAACCAACCCAGCCTCAATCTCTCCCTCTCTCCTCCTCTCTCTTTCATAATCACGCATTATTACCTGAGAACAAAAAAAGGCAACCGAGTTCTGGAATCAAAATCAGTCCAAAGACCCATATAGATATGAATTCTATTGTTAGTCAAATTAGAAGAGGCCCATTAAATCAACAGAATTTATCTACATGTTGATTCTACATTCAACAATTGAATCAATAGGATTCTTTTAGTTTGGACCATTGGCTCTCAAGGTGTGCTCCGCAGAGCCCTTGGGGTTCAATGAAGCATACAGAGGTGTTCTGCACTTTCCTCCTCCTCCTCCCTCCCTCCTGTTTTCAGCTCCCCCCCTTGCCCCACCTCTCTTGCCCCTAAAAGCCTTTTTCCCTAGCCTTCTTCACCACCCAGATCCTTTCCCCCTTGCCTCCCTTGCTTCCAAAAACCTATTTCCCTCCCACCACTCAGGGGTGCTTTGATTGTGGATTATTCCGTTCCAGGACCACCGCGTTAAGTGAAAATCCGCTAAGTAGGGATACTCTGCCTACTCAAGTGGGTGGACTGTCCTTACTCTGCGGTGGCCTCCTCCTCACTACCTCCACTGTTCCCTGCTTCGGAGCACCCTTCCTCACCAGGCTGGGTGCCCAAGCCTGGCGCCCAGCCTGGCGAGGAAGGAGTGGGGAGCAGTGGATGAACGAGGAGTAGGACAGCGCTGCCGCCGAAGCCCTCTTCGGCAGCGGCCTCCTCCTACTCGCTACCTCCACTGCTCCTGTCTCGGAGGCCCCTTGGGCACCCAGCCTGGTGAGGAATAGGGAGCAGCTATACAATGTTCCCTCACTGCTCCCTGTGAAACAGCAAGTCCACAATAAGCAAAATAAGTAGCTAAGTAGCGAGGGAACACTGTACTGCTAAGTTCAAGCTGGTTAAAATTGTTCTTCATTTTAAATATTGCATTGTTCTTTCTTTCCATTTTATTTTTTACAATCCAACCGAGATATGTGCAATGTGCACAGGAATTCCTTCATTTTTTTTTAATTGGTTTACACAAAACCCTCTATCCATCTGCCACTGACCTGGCCCATCTGTCAAATTTTAAAACACAATGTGTCAAAAAGTTTGCCTATGCCTGATATATGGTACATACATTATACCATTTAATATAATATTATATAATATAGTACAGTACAATACATAAAAACTTTTATTGGGGCTCCACAAGAAACTTTTGCTTCAAAAAGGGCTCTGCGGCTGAAAATGTTTGAGAACCCCTGGTCTGGACAAACCAACTGGATTTAGTCCACAGAATGCCTTTTCAGTTTAGCTAGAGAAGTTCTTCCATAGACGCTGAAATAAAATTTAACGTATCTAACAACACTCTTATTAAATATTGTATGATGCAGGAGGATGTCCTCCTTCAATTCAGCCATATATATAAACTGTTAAGCTGAAGAATTTGCTAACTGGAAGGATGGCGGTTCAAATCCACAGAACAGGGTGAGCACCCACTGTAATTCCCAGCTTCTGCCAACCTAGTACTTTGAAAACAGGCAAATGTGAGTAGATCTATAGGTACCGCTTCTGTGGGAAGGTAATGGCGCTCCATGCAGTCATGCTGGCCACATGACCTAGGAGGCATCTATGGACAACACCGGCTCTTCGGCTTAGAAATGGAGATGAGCACCACCCCGCAGAGCTGGGCACGACTAGACTTAATGTCAAGGGGACGTCTTTATCTATAGACATACATATGACATATACACACATGCACACTTATATCTAATCAGGACATTTGTGAATAGAAATTGCCACTCCTTATAGAAAAAAAATAGGCTTTTAAAAATAATAGGCTGAATAAGTACTAGAACTTTATAGATGAAATAGGAAGGAACACCAGTGTATACTATGCCATCTAGCAGGCTGGTGAACTTGAAACTCTCTAGATGTTGCTGGACTACAGCTTCCACATCCCTTCACCACTGACTATGCTGGTGGTTAGAGTTGATGGAAACTGCAGTCCAACAACAGTTTGAGAGTGATCTGTTGCCCACCTGTCTCTCATCAGATACATTTTCCAGTGTAACATAGCCACCTATGTTCTGGGGGTAGGGAAAGAGGGTGGCAAGGGAAGAATGCAAGCAAAGGTAGTTAAATACATACCTAGGCTTTTTTAATGGAGAGCGTGAGAACTAAGAAGTTAAGCCAAAGGCTTCACTGAAGAGGAATTTGAAGGAGGTGGTGGAACTGTATAGGTGCCTTGGGGAAGAAGTTCCAGGAATAACTGGCTGCAAGCAAGGAGAGGGCAGAAGCATTTAACTGCTGCAGTTCTTGGCTTTATGTTCACTCCCATCAGGAGTTAACATTAATACGAAAGTGTCTTAGTACAGGTTGAATATCCCTTATCTAAAATGCTTGGGGCCAAAAGTGTTTGGATTTTTTGGGATTGTGCATCCATACATAGTGAAATATCATGGAGAAAGGACTTAAGTCTAAACACAAAATTTATATATGCTTCTTGCGCATACACACTTTATACCTCTGACCTGAAGGTAATTTTACCTACAATATTTTAAACCATTTTGTATGCAAAATAAAGTTTGAACAATCAGAAACCAAAGGTGCCAATATCTTGGCCACTCTTGGATTTCAAAGTATTCCAGATTTTGGAATTCCAGATAAGGGATGCTCATCCTGTATTACAATTTTTGAACATATACACGCACGCACGAGTAGCCACCGGCACAGGAGTATCAGAAAGTGGTACATTTACTAGCTGCACTGGACTCAAGCCTAATGAGCAATGAAGCCAAGGGGTTCCACAAATTATAGCAGGCAAATATCCTACACCAAAAGAGTTGGGGCACAGGTGTCAAACACAAGGACAAGAGGACAAATCAAGCAAACCATTTTGTGTGGCCCACAAGGCTTTCAATGCCAGGGAAACATAGCTACAATTACAATTAGAAGGAAACTGAAGACTTGGCTGTGGGACCTTGCGTTTGACCATTGAATAGTGGCTTGTATGAAGAAGGCATAAGCAATTTTGAAATGACAATGAATTGACCCAGACCCAGATTTTAATTGCCGTGTTTTAACAACAGTTTGTTTGTTTATTTATTTATTTGCGACATTTATATGCCGCCCTTCTCACCCCGAAAGGGACTCAGAGCGGCTTACAAGATAGATAGATAGATAGATAGATAGATAGATAGATAGATAGATAGAGATACATACAATACATTATACCATGAACACAGTACAATATGAGCGCTGTACATCAATATATTGTACTATAAAATTATATTGTAATATTATTAGTAATATTACATGTAATATAAATATATAATTATAATATCATATTATTATCAATATTATATTACATTATAATATTATAAATATTATATGTATATACAATATATTATATTATATTATATTATATTATATATTATTATATTATAAATTAGCATAGCACAGGAGACAAGGTGGAACTGTCCCCTGACCTCCCCTGTCTTCACTCTGTTGATTGTATTTATCATTATGATGGCACCGAATGGTGTTTGCTGTGAGGCCTCCCTGAGTCCCCCCTTGGGGGTGAGAAGGGCGGGATACAAGTATATGAAAAAAATAATAATACAGTTTTACCATTACAAACGGCCCTTTGAAGGTAACCATAAGGCAGATGCAGTCCTCGGTGAAAATGAGTTTGACATCCCTAGGTTGGGGACTCAAGCATGCTGAGGCTGAGGCCACACACTAGAAGTACAACCCATGCAAGGAACAAGTGAGAAGCATGACTTATGGATACATGCAGCAGACCAAAGCATAACTAAGAGGGAAGAATAAGATGGTACTTAGAAAAAATAATTGGAAATCTATGTCATCTATTACTCCTCATATCCTGCTCATAGGCCTCAAACAGTAGTTAACATCTAAAATGGAAGCACATAGAAACAAGTCATTCCTTTGCCCTAGAAGGTCTTTGCTCTTATTCCAGTGTTGCCAGGGCAGCAGTTAACGTTACTTGACTGTAAAGAAAACACTCTATACATGTTCTGAGTCTTGCTATGACCTGCCAAAATATGAATCCCATTTCTCTCCTAGCTTCACACCCATCCCTTTCAAAATAAGCCTTGAATATAAACTGATAGGATGCCCCGTCATAATGAGGGGCCCTGTCCTAACTATACCTATTCCCCAAAGAAAGTCTTTGAGGCAGGGAGAGTGCCCAGCAGTTTGTTGATTCTAGCTCTGGGAAAAAGGCCTGCCCCAAATCTGGAAGAGAAGAGCTGCAGGGATTGAATGAAGAACAGGCTTATTCGCCCACTCACTCCTCTCCTCCCCCCTCCCCCCAGTGAATCTCTGGATTTGGCCTAAAGAAAGGATTTTCTGGCACTGGATTTAATACAAAATCCCATCCAATGCTAATCTGGCTGTTAACGCAGAAAATGGGGGCCATGGGGTAAAGTGGGAGCAGGACAGGTGGTAAAATTGGGGAGAGTTCCCATCACCCATGAAGACAGAAGAGGGAGTGACCTAGAGGATAGGTAAGGGCTAGGAAAAATCCAGTGTCCTCTCTGGGTTTGTGAAGTCAAAGAATCCCTAATGATGAGGCAGATCATGGAAGGATTCAGATGTCAAACTACATCCCCTCTTCTGGAATCTACATTACCCTCAGTTAACTGTAACTCAAGCAATTGGAACACTCAAGCAACCAGCAAAAAAAAAAAGATCAAAGAAATACTACTTTAAATAAAAATTAGAATGCATGTATATAATACAGTAAAACTGTATTACATTAAGTTAAATTCATCTGCATTGGTCTTCATTTGCTTTTAATTACTGTATTTCAAGATTAACATCAAGTCAATACAGAATGTATAGTAGCCATGGGCAAACTTTGGCCCTCCGGGTGTTTTGGACTTCAATTCCCAAATTCCTAACAGCCTACTGGCTACTAGGAATTATGGGAATTGAAGTCCAAAACACCTGGAGAGCTTAAGTTTGCCCATGCTTGGTTTATAGTATGGGATAGTATGGGATATAGCTAGGCCTATTTTTCATACGAACTATTCAAGCAACCAGAAACTACATTTATCCATCATTTACCAATCCCCATGGGAGCCAATGAACTGAGAGTCTACCACCTGAACATTAAGAACTTCCTGACTGTAAGAGCTGTTCAACAGTGGAACTCATTGCCTCTGAGTGTGTGGAGGCTTTTAAACAGAAGCTGGATGRCCATCTCTTGGGGTTGCTTTGTGCTTTTTTTGCATGGCAGGGGGTTGGACTGGATGGCTCATGTAGTCTCTTCCAACTCTATTATTCTATTATTGCACTTTTCATGTATGATGGGGGGGGGGTGGACTGGATGGCCCATGAGGTCTCTTCCAACTCTATTATTCTATTATTGTACTTTTCCTGTATGAAAGGGGTTAGACTAGATGGCCCATGTGGTCTCTTCCAACTCTATTATTCTATTATTGTGCTTTTCCTGCACGAAAGGGGGTTGGACTAGATGGCCCATGTGGTCTCCCAAAGCAGGGGGGGTTGGACTGGATGGCCCATGAGGTCTCTTCCAACTCTATTATTCTATTATTGTACTTTTCCTGTATGATGAGGGGGRGTTGGACTAGATGGCCCATGAGGTCTCCTCCAACTCTATTATTCTATGATTGTGCTTTTCCTGTATGACTGGGGTTAGACTAGATGGCCCATGTGGTCTCCTCCAGCTCTATTATTCTATGATTGTACTTTTCCTGCATGGCAGGGGGTTGGACTAGATGGCCCATGTATCCCTTCCAACTCTATTATTCTATGATTGTACCTTTCCTGTAAGACAGGGGGGTTGGACTAGATGGCCCATGCGGTCTCCTCCAACTCTATTATTCCATTATTGTACTTTTCCTGTGTGACAGGGGGTTAGACTAGATGGCCCATGAGGTCTCCTCCAGCTCTATTATTCTATTACTCTATTATTCTATTTCCTGCAGAGCGGGGGTTGGACTGGATGGCCCATGTGGTCCCTTCCCACCAGATTATCCTGTGATTGTGTACTTAGTTCTCCTCTTTGGACCCCAGGGCAGGGCACAGCCTGTAAATATGTCCACAGCCCACTCTGGCGTGGATCCCCAAGATCTGACAGCCTGCCACCCTGAAAGGCGCTCCTCTATTAGCCCTGGGTGAGACCTCTCAAAGTGAAATCCGCTTTTGATCCAAGGGGTTTTCTTTCCTTAGGTGGCGACATGTTTCCCTGCCTGTCCCACATCAAAAAAGGCAGGAGTGGAGGCGGGATTCAGGACTGTGGGAGGAAGGGAGGGAAGCAGCCTTTGGGGTCCCTCCTTCCCTCCCTCCCTCTACATCCTCACCTGTCAGCATGGCAGCAGCAGTGGCAGCAGCCCCGGGGGGCTCCATGGGGCGGGCGGGCCCCCCCCAGCTCCTCCGCTTCCGGTCTCTGGGGGCTGGCTTTGTGGGGTCCTCTCCCTCCTCCTCCTCCTCTTCCTCCTCTTGGCGGCCACTTTGGGATGGGAGGCTGGGAGAGCTTTCTTCCCAGTGCCTGCGCCCACTCTCTGGACAGCTCCTTCCTCCCAGCTGCTGGCCTCTGGCAGGAGGCGGGGTGGGTTGAGTGGGGGGGGGGGGGGGGGGGGGGGGAAGGTAGGGAGGGAGAGAGAGAGAGAGAAAGAGGGGGCGGGCCCTCTCCTCCTCCTCCTCTTCGCCTTCTTCTTCTTCCTCCTCCTCTTCTCCTCCTCCTCCTCCTCCTCCTCCTCCTTCTTCCTGCCGCCGGTGACCTCTTCGGAGGAGATGCCGCGCTGACGGCGCCCGTCACATGGAGCAGGCCGAGAGGCGGGCCCAACTACCACGACGACGCCTCCTCCTCCTCCTTTGACTGGATGGGAGGAGGAGGAGGAATCAAAGAACGTGGAGTGACCCCAAGGGCCACCCAGCCCGAGCCCATCCCGCCCAGCCAGGCGGGAAGACCCAATCAAAGCACTCCCAGCAGAGGGCCATCCAGCTCAATACTCGTGGGAGGGCCCACAGGCCGCGAGAGGGGAACGGGGCAGAGGTGTGGGTGCGGAACCAAGGGCCCAGCTCTCGCCCCCTCGCCGCCCTCCGCGCGCCCCCGCGGTTGCCACGGCGACGCAGGACAAGATGGAGGAGATGAAAGAGAAGGCGGGGGAGAGGTGGAGGAGGAGGCTGCTGCTGCCATGGTAACCCCTGCCCCCCCCCCCCCGGGACACGCAGCGTCGAGGGGCTCCACACCTCCCAGGCCCCGCCCCCTGTTACTATGGGAACTAGGCCTCACCAAGGCGGGGAAGGCTTTGGCCCTGTAGGGGGCGCCACACTTCCCATCCATAAAGGGCACCGAAGGCTGAGCAACCAGTGAGTGGGTTGGAGCCTTAGCTGAGGGACTCCTAGGCAAGCTGCTGTATTATAGGCTCTTGAATTGGAGCCCCCATTGGCGCAGTGGGTTAAACCCCTGTGCCGGCAGGACTGAAGACCGACAGGTCGCAGGTTCAAATCTGGGGAGAGGCGGATGAGCTCCCTCTATCAGCTCCAGCTCCTCATGCAGGGACATGAGAGAAGCCCTCCCACAAGTATGATAAAAACATCAAGCGCAGTGGGTTAAACCAATGTGCTAGCAGGACTAAGACCGACAGGTCGCAGGTTCGAATCTGGGGAGAGGCAGATGAGCTCCCTCTATCAGCTCCAGCTCCTCATGCGGGGACATGAGAGAAGCCTCCCACAAGGATGATAAAACATCAAAAGCAGTGGGTTAAACCCCTGTGCCGGCAGGACTGAAGACCAACAGGTCGCAGGTTCGAATCTGGGGAGAGGCGGATGAGCCCCCTCTATCAGCTCCAGCTCCTCATGCGGGGACATGAGAGAAGCCTCCCACAAGGATGATAAAAACATCAAAGCGCAGCCCTGTGCCAGCAGGACTGAAAACCGACAGGTCGCAGGTTCAAATCTGCAGAGAGGTAGATGAGCTCCCTCTATCAGCTCCAGCTCCTCATGCGGGGACATGAGAGAAGCCTCCCACAAGGATGATAAAAACATCAAATCATCCGGGCATCCCCTGGGCAACGTCCTTGCCAATCCTCTCACACCAGAAGCAACTTGCAGTTTCTCAAGTCGCTCCTGACACGAAAAAAAAAACAAACCTTTGCTCTGAGCACTAAACATAAAACCAAGCTCATATTCCTGGTGTGTGTTCAGATAGGGCACACATGTCAAATGCAAAGCCTGCAGGCCAAACCTAGCCCACCACTTAATTTTATGTGGCTCATGAAGCTTTCAGTGCCAGGGCAACATAGTTACATTTATATAGTCTCACAATTACAAGCCACCCTTTGAAGGCAGCCGTAAGATTTATGTAGCCCTCAGTAAAAATGAGGTTGACACCCCTGAGATAAGGGTTCAGGCCATGCTCCTAAATCAGCATTTGTAATGGCTGCAAGACAATGGTTCAAATCCTGCTCCTGAGGCAAGTCATGCACCCTCAGCCCCAGAAAACCCCATGACTGTGGGATTTTATTTGGCTGTGTGGAAGGGGCCAAAGTCACTATAAACCAGAAATGACATCTGGGCTGTTAGTGGCTGCCATGTCAATTCCCAAACCTAAAACCTATCAAGGAGTACAATTGAGTTAAAGGATCCAGCCCAAGCACTTAGATCCTTGGAGGAGGCTCTCCTTTCACTCTTGCCATTATCACAGGCTCATCTTGTAAGCACAAGGGAGAGAGCCTTCTCCTCTGTGGCCCCCCAACTCTGGAACTCATTGCCTGGTGAAATTAGAAAGGCCCCCACCTTAGAAATTTTCAAGGGGGATCTCAAAACCTGGCTTTTCCGATGCGCTTTTGGAGAGTAGCCATATTATCATACACAGTTGCTCCCCCTCAACGGTTTTGTCCCCAGAGTATATTTCCCCACCTATATGAAGGTCTATATTTATGAGCCAGTTCCTTTATGAGTTTCTCCCTCAGAAACAATCTGCTCCATCCCTGTCTCATCCTGATTTTAGTATTTTTAGTATCTTAGTTTTTATCTTGCAGATGCATCCCACTCTTTGTTATTTTATTTTATTTCATTGTGTATGATTTTGCTTTATCGTTTTTTGTACTCATATGTTGTATGCATTTTACTGTGTTGTTGTGTTTTGGTTTTACTTTATTGTAATATGTTGTTGGGCTTGGCCTCATGTAAGCCACCCTGAGTCCCCATTGGGGAGATGGTGGCGGGGTATTAAATAAAGTTTTATTATTATTTATTAAAGCATTTCAATAATGAAGTTCCAGAAGCGGAGAAACTAAGGACCCTTCCAGACAGGCTCTTATATCCCAGGATCGGATCCCAGGTTTTCTGCTTTAAACTATATTATATGAGTCCACACTGCCAAATAATCTGGGATAAACAGAAAACCTGAGATCAGATCCTGGGATATAGGGCCTGTCTGGAAGGGCTCTAAGGCCCCTTCTACACAACTAGATACTTAGTTGTGTAGAAGAAACCCAGGCTATTTGCTTTGAACTGGATTATCTGGCAGTGTAGGCTCAGATAATTCAGTTCAAAGTAGATAATGTGGAATATCTGCCTTGATATTCTGGATTATATGACTGTGTAGAAGAGCCCTAAGATCTTTCAGATGTTGCTGGACTGCAGCCTCTGCCATCCCTGAGCACTGGTCATACCAGTTGGGGGGCTAAGTGTTATTTGAAGGAACATTTGAGTTCCAGTGCCTTATTTCTAGAAACTAAGTTCTGCGTTTACAAAGTATGGTGGGTGATGACCAGGATTACATCTCATTTGGTGTGTATTTTAATGGACAGTTTGAAGGTGGTTAGAAATATTCAAGTCCATAAGGAAACATTATAGGGTTTTCTTCCAGTTCTGGACTAATTTAGTAGCCTGTTACTAGTGAGGGTAATGCACTTTCCATAAACTCACTTCATTTTTTTTAATTCCAGGCTTGAAAACAATAAATCCTTCACAGGAAGAAAACATATTGCTAACAGAAGTTACCCACATTTTCTTTGATGACAAAACTGCATTTTAAAGCAAACTTTTCATCACTGAATTCAAAGGGAGTGGCCCCAAGATAAGTGCAGGTAATACCACTGATTACGTTATGAAATAAACAGATGTTCTGCTAATAAAGGCAATCTCTTTTAAAGACACAGAATGCACTGAAATCATCTGTCCACGTATCTTGGAAAAGGAATTTGAAGTGTGTGGGACTAGGAGCTATTTGATCTTGTTAGCTATGTTGTGTTTAATGATTAAACATTGGTTCTAGTTACTTAGTGTTATACTGTAGTCTACGTGGGGGACAAGGAAGAAATGCCATAGTTGAACGAAGCATAGGTTTAACTTCTTAAGAAATGATAACTTGTTAGTGCTTTTTCTATTGAATTATTTACTTTTTGCTTTTTCTTATTTTATTATAACACATTGAGTGCTGCTCTTCAATCTGTAGCTGTAAAATCAACTTTAAAAAATAAATAAATCAGGAAATATAATAAAAATTGACAAACATAAATGCAGCAGCCCCATATGGCACATTCTATAATGTTGTCTTGTTTAAAATATTAATCAAATATTTGGACTTATTTTCTCTAAACCTGCCTGGTCACTGACTCTAGCAATAGTAGTGTTTTCCCTACATTATTTAGCAACATTTTAGTGGGTTTTTTAAATATATATATATAACCTGTCTTCAAGATAATTGGCATCTGCAGATGTATGGGGGATGACCATTCTCTTTGTCCCAATACTTCTGTTGGCTGGAGATGAGGAGATTTAGTTCCACACTTCCAGTGAACATCAAGTTGGAAAAGCTATTCTAAGATGTACATTTACTTGACTTATCCCCACCTTTCATGACTATATGCTCAGTACCAGAATGTCCCTTTACATGTCATTAAACAGAATAAGAAAAAAAAAAGATGACAAATTCCAATCTATACAGTTTATTGTAGCACATACAATACCTTTGCTTTTTCACTGAACATTGGTAGAAATGAAAAAAGTCTAGGAAGGGTAAGATCATTTAACAGGTTGTGATGTTTGCTTCACAAGAGATTTAAGCAACTAAGGTAAATGACAAAAATAGTCTACATGGGGGACAAGGAAGAAATGATCTCCCCTTGTTCAAGCTAGGTAAATAAACTGACTTACAGGTGGTTGAAACTTACTTGAATACTAACAATGGAATCTTGTCCTCCAAAGCAATTGAAACAGAAGACATGCTTAAGATGCCATAAGATGGTTGTATGGCAGCCAGACATGTTATTTGTCTTCCAAAAGAGAGTAATTAATTGTTGGACAGTTTAAGAGAAACAGGTAAGAAGCTACCACTACTCCATCTGCTGCTTGAGGTGATTGCCTCATTCCACCATTTAGGGCTGGCTCAATCATAGTGAGAACAGGCCTGCGGAACCTGTGGCCCTTCAGGTGTTTGGAACTCCAACTTCCAAAAGTCCTAGCCAGAATGTCCAAAGGTCAGGAATTCTGAGAACTGAAGTCCAAAACACCTGGAGGGCCACAAGTTGTGTAGGCCTGAGGCAGAGTGTGGGCAAAAGTATCATAGTATCAATGAGTATGAAAAGGGGGAAAAGAGAAAATCGCAGTCTGCTTAAATGTATTGCTACCTGATACAGCAGAGGTTTGTTGTATTCAAAACAATGAACAAAAGTTAGTCTTGAAAAGGCGAGATGGGTGGAGAAACAGGCAAAAAGACAGACTGACTTAGAGAAGGATCTTTAATAATGTCACAACTGTAGTCAGGTTACACTAAGAAATAGTGCCTGAGGAACAGGTGAGTATTAGGACAGAGTTCAACCAGCCCATTCTGCCCCACAAGCAACTGTTCTCTGCTCCACTTCTACCTTGCAAGCTATTGCCATCTCACCTCACAATCAGAAGGGTTTCTCCAGCTACAAGTGCAGTTCCTACTGCCACCAAAACGCCCAAGAGATCAATTTTTCTTCCAGCATACTATCCCATTGAGTTAGAAGTGAATATGATCTCAAAGGAAAATGTCCCTTCTGGTCTCTTCAGGCAGATCCGGAAGGCCTTGGAGTTCACGCAAGCCCTGTGGGCAAAAGGTGGAGTGAAAGAAACTTAGTCTGAACCTGAATTCCTCCAAAAAGCTTCTACAAAACAACTTTGCTCCCAGGCGACACTAGAAGGGGACAGCACTGTCATACAACAGAGGTGGGTGAACAACCTCTGAGGATCAAGGGGTCTTTTCCATTTCAGATTCAAGGAGGGAAAAATATTTTATACAGAAATAGCACCTCAGAGTTATATCTGACTTTGTGGGAAATTTGCCAATGATTATTTTGAACTCCAAAAATGTTTGTATTTTTTAAAGAAAATAGCAAAAGGGAGTAAACATGGAAAAACATTCCAGACTCCTGTCATAGATCATCACCCCAAAGAAAAGCCATCCCACCACTGCATAGGTCCCTCATTCTCTTTGCTTGGAGCAATTCATAGCCATAAGGTGCCTCATTCTCCACAATAGGAAAATCACTGCTAATTCCATTACCTCTAAAACCATCCGGATATTAGCTTTGATCTTGACAGAGTCTTTGGTGAGGGCTTCACTGAGCCTGTTAAAAGACAGAAGAATCCACAGTAGAGAATGAGGATGACAACCTGGGCCTCTAACCTGGGCCACAATACAGAAAATGAATATGGATGATGGAAATTGTAGTCCAACAGTATTTTGATAGCCACAAATTACCAACTCTTGCTTGAGACAAATCAGAAGAATACTGAGAGGAACATATCCTATGCAGGGCATACCGATAGACTGGCTGATCCTGAGTTAGGCCACAATCCTGTGTTCACTTAACCATGAATAAACTCTTCTGAATATTGTTGACCTCTAAAAATGTGCTGGTCTAAGCTGCAAAAAAGAAATTTGTTTCAACTTGAAGAAATTTTGCCTGTGCTTGTTTTGCTCTACACATATGCATAATGCACACGTACATCATTTTAACTTGTTCCCAAACCACACACAAAACTAAAGGACCCCCCTCTGAGCCAATATCTTAGGCAACTTTGTGTAGTACTGTACTTTTACTAATTTGTTAAATTCTACTTTTCGTTTCTTTTGCAGCTCTGTTTCTTTGCATCAAAAATATACTGAAGCCACATAATATAACTGTAGAGGATTGCAATAAAGAGTATGGCTATATCTAAAATGGAGAAAGATGGGAAAATGAAAACATAGCTGTCACTGTCCCACTTGTTCAAAGGGGAACCAAGAGAGCCTTAAAACCTCTGTGGGTGACATGGGATAGAAAGAATAAAATATTCATACTCACTCCGTAAGAAGTTTATTTTTCTTCTCAATGAACGCAAGTGCCTCAGGAAGTGTCAGCTCTACAAAAAATCCATAACCCAGTGCTACAAATATGGTGGACGTGTTTGGTCTGTGGCAGAAAAAGAAAGAGAATAAATTTTGTATGCACCTGACATGGTAAAAAACAAAAAAGAAAAGAGGCAGCAACTGCATTTTACCTGATGAGGACATAACACACAATAATGTGTGTCACTACAAGGGGAAAAAAAGATTAAGGTTCCACAATGGAATCATTTATTTTACTGCAGTTCACAAATGGAATCAAGTGCTTAAGGATATGAACCGATACCTGCTCTTTTACTAGAGTAATAGGCACAAGTCACTTAACATTATCATCACCATCTGTCTAGTGAATTTTTTCCCCCTTTCTTGCTATGTTTATACTGTTCTTGGCCCTTTGCCAGCAGGAAGAAACAAGAGAAGTGTCAATTCACACACCTAGTCACTCGTTCCTGTATGGGGCAAATGCTGTAAGGAAAACAATCTAAAAATGTCCCTTGCTTTATAAATTATTAACTCCTAGTACAGTTTTTTTTTCAAATTTAAGTTATTTAGAATAGGTTAGTTAAGGGTAAGATTTCAAGCTATCTCTCTTCTGTCCATATCACCTATAGCTTTTTAAATCCTTATTATAGGTTTAAGTATACACAGAAATAGTTTGTGGTGCTTGAGAAAATGTGTTCTTTATGTAGAGTACAGGAAGTTTCTCCAATATGACATGAGAGATGGCTATTAAAGCTAGCTTTCATTCCAGCCAAAAGTTTGCCAGATTAACCTAGAAACATGAAGAGGTACTGGAAGAAAGTAAAGAAGAGGCCGTTTTCTCTGTCAGCATAGTCCTTCTTCAGGGTTCACTCTTTTTCTATTATGTTTTAATTTACATATTCCTAGATTTCTAACAAGAGGTACATATTCTCGTCACTGTTAAAATGTAAGAGAGATTCTTACACTGTTGTTAACTGCCGTCAAGTCAACTTTGATTCTATGAGTGAGAGACCTCCAAGTCATGCTATCATCAACAGCCCTGCTATGGTCTTGCAGACTCAGGAGTGTTGCATCCTGGATTACAGGCCCAATTTGTCCAACAACACCAGGAAGACTACGTGTTCCCCATCCCTGGTTTAACAGTAGGAACAACTGATTGTCTCAGGATAACTTGTGTCAGCCTTCACTGTGGGCCCATGTCTCAGATAGAAAAAGGAAAGGCTAAATAAATGGACTGAGAAAGACGCAAACAGCCTCCATGATAAATATAGGCTGGTGGGAGTTGTAATTCAGCCTGCCCCTGCTGCTTTGACTACAAATTCCTTGTAATCAAAATAATATTTTCTTTGGATTATTGATGGTGCTGTAAAATCTCTAACTGTTGCTTCATTAACAAAATTAGGCAAAATGAAAAACCTATGTCAACTCTTAGAAACGTTATGTACATCCTAGTTAAAGGAACTTGCTGCTTTTTCAGCAAAAGGGAGGGAGACAGATTTGGTGCTTAAATTCAAACATTTGCAATTCGCCTTTATCCTGGAAATAATTTTCACTAAAAAGTCAAAACAGTGAAACAACAAGAAAAGATGTATAAGCAGAAGGACTGTCTTTGAACTACTCACACTTCTGCATTGACATAGAAATGACAGCCTAAATCCACTTGAGTCTTTAGCTCCTGATCGTCTGTTTCCTATGAAAAAGATATTTAGAAATTAACTTCTATTTATTTATTTATTTATTTATTGTATTTATACCCCGCCCTCCTCACCCCAAAGTGGCCTTATAATAGGCAACAATTCAATGCCACATAAAACAGACATATAAATAAGCATATTCATTAAGAACATAAAATTAAAAAACATATAAACATTAAAACTAATTATTAAAAACCACACAGTCCAAAATCATACTCAAGGAGCCATTCCAGTCATGATATTCCATCTTCACTTATTGCACTGCATTATTGCCCAAAGGCTTGGTCCCACTTCTACACAAAAGGGTAATCCAACTTAAATTTTGTTATGCAGTTTAAGTATCACTAAAATTCCAAAATCTAAAATTTTCCACATAGGTGATTTAGATACTGGCACCTTTGTTTTCTGATAGTTCAATAAACTTTCAGTAATAAAATTACTTAAATGTTGTATATAAAATTACCTACTGGGTATGTGTTTACTATATGCATAAACATAAATTAATGTCATGTTTCAACTTGGATCCTATCTCCTATCTCCAAGATCTTGTTATATATATGCAAGTATTACAAAATCCCCCAAAATCCAAGTAGAACACATATGGTACCAAGAATTTCAATCTGCTATATTAAACCCTTGAATCTCACTGCTTCAAATTATGCCAGATCCTTACACTCTACAGCAGGGGTCCTCAAACTTTTTAAACAGAGGGCCAGGTCACAGTCCCTCAAACGGCTGGAGAATTTGAAAAAAACATGAATGAATTCTTCTGCACATTGCACATATCTTATTTGTAGTGCAAAAACACGTAAAAACAATACAATAATTAAAATGAAGAACCATTTTAACAAATATAAATTTATTAGCATTTCAATGGGAAGCGTGGACCTACTTTTGGCTGATAAGGTAGGATTGTTGTTGTTGTGTGCTTTCAGGTCGTTTCAGACTTAGGTTGACTCTGAGCAAGGGCCGGGTAAATTATCTTAGAGGGCCGTATCTGGCCCCGAGCCTTAGTTTGAGGACCCCTGCTCTACAGTTTAAAAGAGTTTTGAGTTACCTGTAAACGTTCGATCATGTTCTTGAGTTGCAAGTACTGAGCAATCTTTTCATAGACTTCATCTCGCTGTTCTAGCACCTTCCTGGGGAGAAAAAAAAAAGCAATAAATTGAAACAAAACAAATCTAGAAAGCACCATAGACTAGGCCTATACATGAGTGAGAAAGTGGGCACGAAGGAGGGGCATACAATCACTCACTGGAGATCCCTCTGAAGGATATCACTGACAAAAGCCTCATATTGGAGCACTTTCTCCTGCACCTCTCGTTTGCCCAGCATGGCCATGAGATGCACTGTGGAACTAGCACAACAGCCTGCAGAATGAAAGAGAAATTAGAATGATGTGGCTTCCGCACATGGGAAAATAAATGTCCAAACATGCAAAGGCAGCCATGGTCACTGTGAAGTCTCAGCCTAGTTTTCACTCCTGTTCATTTCCTTGTTTGCTTTCTTTAGGGTGGGCTGTTCCATTTTGCTGAGTTTTAAGAATGGAGCTTAGGATCGCTCTAGAGCAGGGGTCCTCAAACGAAGGCCCGGGGGCCAGATAAAGCCCTCCAAGGTCATTTACCCGGCCCTCGCTCAGGGTCAACCTAAGTCTGAAATGACTTGAAAGCACACAACAACAACAACAGTCCTATCTCATCAGCCAAAATTGTTCTTCATTTTAATTATTGTATTATTTTAAGTGATTTTTGCACTACAAATAAGATATGTGCAGTGTGCATAAGAATTCATGTTTTTTTTTTCAAATTATAATCTGGCCCTCCAAGTTTGAGGGACCGTGACCTGGCCCTCCGTTTAAAAAGTTTGTGGACCCCTGCCCTAGAGGCCTAGCTCTGATGGTTTAGCCCTGCTGGCTAAGAGCTTGGTGGAAAGATTTTCCCTCCATTCTTTTTTGGCATAGCTTTAGAATTGTTAGGCCAGAAAGTGGCCTGGCTTGGCAATCTAAAACATCTTAAGCATGTACTTGCCACAGAGATTATACAGAGATTATAGCCTTGAACTTAAAGATCAGAGATTATAGCTGTACATGCAAAGGATCATAGTTGTACATGCCTTAAAGACCGTACTCTGTACTTAACTCATAGTTTATTTATTTATTTACAGTATTTCTATTCCACCCTTCTCACCCCGCAGGGGACTCTGGGCGGATTACAGTCTACACATATATGGCAAACATTCAATGCCAATTTGACACACAACATATACAGACATACACAGAGGCTATTTAACTTTTTCTGGCCGCCAGGGGAGCTGTCGCTTTCATTGTCCATCTGCGACACTGATGAAGTACCTCCGCATTCCCCACATGCTTTGCTGGAGTGCTTTGCTGGAGTGTTTTTTATGGCCTCATAAATTAGTTAATTTAGCCTCCCCACACAAGGTGGTACCTAATTTTCCTACTTGACAGATGCAATAGTTACCATATCCTTGTATTTATTTATTTATTTACTTTATTTCTATACCGCTTTTCTCAGCCCTTAGGCGACTCAAAGCGGTTTACACAACAATGCAAAATATCACCAAACAGTATAATGCAATTAAAATAGATTATAACATCAACAATTAACAACAATATAACAATCATAACGCCTCAACAATAAAATCAGAATCCACTCTCATTATTCATTGTTCCGTATTCCTATGTTCAGTTTCACTGTTTAGTCAAACGCTTGTTCGAATAGCCAGGTCTTCACCTTCCTCCGAAACGGCAACAGCGAGGGGGCCGAGTTTTTTACCTCAGAGTTTATACCTTATATCTGTTCTTTGCCATTCTAACTCTGTATCATTTCAATAATAAAACTGCATCTGTGTAATACCTTGTTTTGATTCACCTTTTTAGAGCTCTGACAGGAATTCTCTCTGTTTGTTCCAGCAAACTTATTTGGTTAATTTTAATCTTGTTTCTGGAGTCTTATTTTAAAGAAATAAAGTATATAAAAGGTAAGTCGATAGCGGCTGGGGAAATAGCCAGGCACACACATAGTTTTCCTTCAATCCCTGGCGTGCCATCACAGTCATAGAACAAGACAAACTTGCATGCTCAGATTTAAATACATGTATCACTGATAACAAACATTATGCCCTTTGCCTTGCACAATATCCTCTAATCTAAAAAGAGATAGGCTCTTAACTCACGAGAACAAATGAACAGACAGCATAGAGGGAAACTACTAATCTACTTTGGCCCTTCCGCAAAATTAGTCTTATTGACAAAAAGCGACCTCACCAACTGCACGCCTTGGTTTATTTCATCCCGAACTCCAAACACGAGCGAGGTCTATTTAACTATCCTCCCAAGCAATCGCTTCCGGGGTCATGAGCGCGAAAAACAACATCTCAAAGTGGCTGGAAGGTAAAGAGCGGTGGGATCATTCTTCGCGATGTACACTTCCGGATCCTGATGGAAGTCGCAAGAGGGAAATGAGTGGAAAGGAGAACTTGGGTCTTTCTCGGGGGGTGCAGCTGCTCCCTCGCTTCTCCCTAGGCCAGGATTTAGACCACTTCCAGTAGTTACATCGGGGTTACATTGTGGCCAACTTGGACCTTTCCTCCTGGTATTTTGGACTTCAACTCCCACCATTCCTAACAGCCTCAGGCCCCTTCCTTTTCCCCCTCAGCTGCTTAAGCGGCTGAGGGGGAAAAGGAAAGGGCCTGAGGCTGTTAGGAATGGTGGGAGTTGAAGTCCAAAACACCCAGAGGGCCCAACTTTGCCCAGGCCTGTTGTTGCCATGGAAACAGCTGTCCTTCAGAACTCAGGGACACAGCACCGGAAGTTCCCCGCGGAGCCCCTAACGTCACTTCCGGGCAAGTTCCCTAATAAGGCCGGCTTGCAAAAGTTTTTCTTTTTATAAACTAGCTCTCAAGTCAGTTGGGTCGAGACCCTCGAGGCACCGTGGTCGTTCCTTGTCTGTCTCCCTTCCAATGGCGGCGCCGGAGCTGCGCCTAGGCGGCTCGATCCGCTTCTGGGTTCTCCTGCCCGTCGCCTGGATCGCTCTCGCCGTCGGGATTCTGCGCCTGCGCGTGGCCGGGCTGTGGCGCGGCGAGCGCGTGCTGGGCTGGCGCGAGCAGCGGCAGGACACGTGAGCGGAGGCGGGGGGAAGGCTGGCGGGAAGCCACGCCCATATTATAAATAGAATGCCGTAACGTGCTCTAGGTGCATGTTTGGCGCAGCGGGTTAGGCGTTGGGCTATGACTCTGATATCTAGGGTTCGAATCCCGCTCTGCCTCAAAAGCCTCTGGCTATTATTATTATTATTATTATTATTATTATTATTATTATAGGCTGGACACAGCATATTCTTTGAGGTAAGACAGAAATGCTGGCCCACTCTAACAACCACCATGTCAGACTACACAGAGAAGCCATTGAAATCCATAAGCATGTGGACACTTTCAACATAAAGGAGGAAATCATGAAAATGAATCAATCTGGCTACCAGTATTAAAAAACTAAAATTATAACAGCAAAACAACAGAGACATCTAATCACCTCTCAACAAAAGACTGCCCCAGGCACTGCCAGGCCATCAAATGCTAATCAAGGTGGTCAGTTGAAACATTCACACCTAGCTCCAACACACAAGAGTCCTTTGACCCACCCTGGTCATTCCACAGATATATAAACCCTCGTTCCTAGTTCCAACAGACCTCACTACCTCTGAGGATGCTTGCCATAGTTGCAGGCGAAACATCAGGAGAGAATGCCTCTAGAACATGGCCATATACCCCAAAAAAAAACCTACAACAATCCTATTACTTACTTATTTATTTATTTATTTATTTATTTATTTATTTAAAGCAGCAGCTGCTGTGACACCCATTAAAGGGAGCACTACACCTCTCTAGTTTTCCTTGTGTGATTTTTAAACCCTGGACAATTCATATACCATTGGGGAGATGCACAGATTCCTATGGCAAATGTATAAGGTTTGTATAGCCCACGTTACATTCATTGCATGTAGCTTTAACTGGAATCTCAAGTGTGCCACAAGCATTGTTCAGTAAAGCCTCAGGCCCCTGCTACCATATAATCCAGATTATCAAAGCAGATACTCCACATTATCTGCTTAGAACAGGATTATCTCAGTCTGCACTGCCATATAATCCAATTCAAAGCATCCATCGAGGATTATGAACCAGCTAGGACATTAAGATCATCTGGGGAGGCCCTGCTCTAGGTCCCGCCTTCGTCAAAAGTACATCTGGCGGGGATGAGAGACAGGGCCTTCTCAGTGGTGGCCCCTCAGCTATGGAACGTCCTCCCAAGGGAGATCAGATCGACTTCTTCACTCCTAACATTTTGGAAAAAACTCAAGACATGGCTATTCGAGCAAGCATTTGCAAATATTGAGTAACGGACATAGGAATTGGAACAACTACGCAATGAGACTGGACAATGTTTCTTTTTAATGAGGATTTATTGATTTATATTTTATTGTTATTGTTACGATCTTATGGATGTTAATGCTTTTTTATATTGTACTTGTGTTTCTATGGTATTGAATTTTGCCTTGTAAACTGCCTCGAGTCGCCGGAAGGCTGAGAGGGGTGGTATACAAATACAGTAAATAAATAAAGCAGATAATCAGGCAGTGTAGAAGGGATCTGAGGCCCTATCTTCACTGCCATATAAAATCCAGATTATTTTATTTGAGCTGTGTAGACTCATATAATCCAAAGAAGTTAATGTGAATTATCTGCTTTGATAATATTTATTTATTTATACCCTTCTCACCCCAAAGGGGACTCAGGGCAGTTTACATAATCTGGTATTATTCCACGTCCAAACAATAATAATTAAAAGAATTGAACAACAATTTAAAGGGCCTCATCACATCACACCAGAGCAGGCATGGGCAAACCTGGGTCCCCCAGGTGTTTGTTTTGGACTACAAGTCCCACAATTCCTAACACCCTCAGGCCCCTTATTGATTTATTTATTTAAAACTTTTATATCCCGATCTTCTCAACCTTCGTAGAGGGAGTCAGGCCGGCTGACCCTTCCTTTTCCCCCTCAGCCACTTAATTGTGTTAGGAATTGTGGGAGTTGAAGTCCAAAACACCTGGAGGGCCCAAGCCCGCCCATGCCCACTCTAGAGCATGGATCCACCCCAAATATAATGTCTTGTATGGCAATGTAGAAGGCGTCCTGGACAACAGGAAGGGAGATAAATCTCCCCCTTGGAAGGGAAATTCACTCTTGAAAGAGTTATCGTGGGGAAAAGGTGTCTCCTTGCACTTTAAAAAATGGCCTGTTCCAATTTACATTCAAATTCAATTTAAGAAGCACCATATAGAAGCTATCTATATAAGGTTCCAACCTATATAAACCTCACTTGGCTAGTTCCCAACAGACCTCACAACCGCTGAGGATGCCTGCCATAGATGTGGGCGAAATGTCAGGAGATAATGCTTCTGGAACATGGCCATACAGCCCGGAAAACTCACAGCAACCCAGAACCTATCTTGTTCATAACTTGGGGACTGCTGATAGAGATATTGTGTTACATCCTAAATTAGGGTATTCAAAGTTAGACAGGCAATATCCTGTCCCCAGGATCATCCAAAATGTTTTTAATCCTAAATGAATCCACATAATACTGAACATGAGGAAGAACTTCCTGATGGTGAGAGCTGTTCAGCAGTGGAACTCTCTGCCCAGGAGTGTGGTGGAGGCTCCTTCTTTGGAAGCTTTTAAGCAGAGGCTGGATGGCCATCTGTCAGGGGTGATTTGAATGCAATATTCCTGCTTCTTGGCAGGGGGTTGGACTGGATGGCCCATGAGGTCTCTTCCAACTCAACGATTCTATTAATACAAAATAGCAGTTGATCAAAAAAATCCCTTGCAATGGCTTGGGGGCCGTATGGAAATGGGGCCCTTATTTTGGGGTTGCAGTTGTCACCCCTAGAAATACCACTCTGAAAACAGTTGCTTGAGCCTAGGAATGTGGAGGATGTGAGCGATATCCCAACTTTGGCTGCTGGGCCTGGCGGGCGGCTTTGAGGCCACGACTGGCGTCACCACTTGGTGCTCACAGATCTTGTCGGGGCAACAACTGAGTCGAATGCTCTTTGTCCGTCAGGCAGATTCTGGCCCGGAGCCGCCTCCTGAGAGAAAATGGACGCTTCCTCACGCCTCAGGTGAGAGACAAGAGATATATTATTTATTTTTATTTATTTCCAACATTTCTACCCCATCTTTCTCAACCCCCAAATGGGGAATCAGGGTGGCTTACAACGGCAGCAATTCGATGCCGACAACATACAAAAACACATTACGTACAACATTATATGAGGGTTGAATGAAAAGTAATGCCTCCACCTTTATTACTTGGGTTTTGATGGAAATATTTTAATAAATCAAACACAGAAATAATCCTTAAAATGTGCTCTTTAACCACTATTCACTTTTCCACATAATCACCGGACAACTGGATACATTTCTGCCAACAGTAAATAAGTTTTCTGAAGCCGTCACGGAAGAAGTCAACACTCTGTTTCCGCAACCAGCGTCTCACGGTTCTCTCAACATCTTCATCAGAAGCATAATGATGTCCCCGCAGATCTTCTTTCATTATCAGGAACAGATGGAAGTCAGACGGTGCTAAATCTGGACTGTATGGAGGATGTAGTACGGTGGTGAGATCCAGTCTCTGAAGTTTCAAGTCTGTGTGCTTTCATTTCAGGMGTCGGCATCCTGGGTATCCATTGTGCACAGATCTGATAGCCAAGCAAAGCAATAATGTGACCCACACATTCTTATGAAATGCTGATTATGCTTGAAATTTCTCTCTGAGTGATATGAAAATCAATCTGTCAACGTTTTGCTTGTGAAACTCGGTGGTTGCTGTCACAGGAYGTCCAACTCTTTGTTTGTCACACAAGTCAGATGCTCCCACTTCAACATCTTTAAACTTACTTGCCCAATGATGCACAGTACTCACATCAACACAATCACCATAAAYAGCTTGCATTCTCTTGCATTCTCTTGCATTCTCCCTTGGGGTGACACCCTCTGTTGTCAAGCATTAAATGACTGCACGTTGCTTAAGTTGCATTGACCAACTGTCTGCGCAGGGTTCCATACTTCGCACTTTAACAASACAGCCATTCAGTGCTAAGGCTTTCCGCCAAAATGGAACTGTAGAGGAGAGTCTACTGAACAAGCCAGTATGTGTCGCACACCAGTACTGCCATCTGTTGAGTTACGAAGGTGGAGGCATTACTTTTCATTCAACCCTCGTACACAAAAACCCACATTCAATTAAAATACATTTAAAACATTATTATTCATCATATAGCCAAATCTAAGTCTGATTTAGCAACCGACGACTGTTTCATCCATTCTAAAGCACACACCTAAAACATCATATTGTCTTCATCACACTAGAGAAAAAATCCACTTAAAATTTGGTTTCTGCCTTCTGCATTCCATGCACATGAAGCATCTTGAGCACTTTAAAGCTTGATGTCAACATTATATGTTTTCCGTGCTCTTTTTAAAATCTACATTTTATCCCATTTTTGCAACATTTCCTCCTCAAAGGGTTTCCTCATGCGCAAACACTACTTCAATAATCCTGAAAGTGGCTTCTTCCGCAAAACCAAGCGCAAGATACAGCCCCGGAACCCACTGACAGGTAAATGGAAGGGATCGGTGAGCAGATAGGTGGAAGCAGGCTTCTCTTTATCCCTGGCCTTGGTGGCAAATACTACCGTAGTATTGCGCTGATAAAAAGCTTTGTAGCTGGTGATACTATTGCTATTATCTAGATTGAAACAGTTTTTCGTAAAACATAGTAACCGATAATTCTATTTAAGAATAGTTTGCACTGATTTTGCTTTGAAAATGTTTTGAATTCTAGTGAATGTTAAAGTATGTTATACTTACTTTGCAAAAGTTGCCATTTGAATGTAGAACTAGAGATGTTTCATTATTTTTGAGTGCCTGTTTTCTGAGTATATATTAGATTTTTTTTGTCAAATAATTAATCAATTTTTTTTAAGTTTAATTTGAATTGATGTAAACAGCTCAAATGAGAATGGGTGTCAGAAACTTTGAATTGCCCAGTCATTGTTATTTAGGACTGACCTCAGGTCTCGAACATCTGATTTAGCTCATTGTGGGAAGGAGATGAGATCTCTGCTAGGAAATGAATACATTTATTTCTCCTTCTTCCTGTGCCAACCTATGAAAATCATATTCAGTAATGCCACTCTTCTGTTTCTCACATTGCACAATCATCAGGATTTTTAAAAAAACTTCTAAAAATAAAAACAATATCTAGATCAATGTATCGCCGAAGGTTTTCATGGCCGGAATCACTGGGTTGTTGTAGGTTTTTTTGGGCTATATGGCCATGCTCTAGAGGCATTCTCTCCTGACATTTCACCTGCATCTATGGCAAGTACCTCACAACCTCTGAGGATGCTTGCCATACATGCAGGCGAAACGTCAGGAGAGAATGCCTCTAGAACATGGCCATATAGCCCGAAAAAACCTACAACAACCCAATATCTAGATCTCTCAGGAAGCTGGATACTGTGTCTGAACTGTCCTTTCTGTGTCTTTAGTTTGCACTTTTTGTTTGGATTTTGACATACACACACCCTGTTCTAAGACTTCCTCTCCTTCCCTGTAGATCCCACCATGGTCATGGAGATGATGAAGGGCAATATCGTGAATGTACTACCCATGATCCTTGTCGGAGGTTGGATCAACTGGGCCTTCTCTGGCTTTGTGGCTAGTGAGTGAGGAGGGGAATTGCGGCAGACGTAGGAAACAACAGCAGAGGGAAGTAATGGAGCTTATTGTACGCTTGTAGTGTTGCCATTTGCATTCTTGGATGACTTGGCCTCAGTTTAATTTGATATGTTTAAGTGGCTGTAAAAAAAGGTTGTAGCAAAATCAGTATAGGCATATTTTCAAAAAAAAATTTAACGACTGAGATAATTTAGAGGCCAATAAAGAGTTGCTAATAACTCTTGCTCGCACTTTATAGATCAGTCTGGCTGATGTGGGAGATGAAGCTGATCAAAGCTTCATTAAAGTGACCTAAGGGTGGGCTGGACAATGAACCGGGGAGCCCTCAGTTCAGTTCTCACCTTTGCCATGAAATGACACTTGTTTAACTTCTCCACAAGTAATTCTCAACAAGATTCTAGTTAATACTCTACAGTTGGATCCCAAATATCCACAGGCTCCACATCCAACCTGGCATTGAAAACATTCCCAAAAAAACAGTGTTGGATGTCTCACCTCTCCCACACCCACCCAATCTATTAAGAAAGGACCATGACAAAAACTGTTCTGTGGCACTCTCCTGTTGAGGGTGAAGAAACAGTTGAAGCAGGGCAGGGGAAAGAGCGAGAGGGATGGAATAGAGGGAAGGAAGAAAAGAGGAGTCTACCTGAAACTGAATCCCATTGGGATTATAGCAAACTGAAGATTGGCAGGGGAAAGGAAGCCGCCCTAGAGTTTCTTCTCTTGGCAGCTGGCCTGTTGCTACAGACAGGATATGAAATTGAACATGTGTAGTCTTGGAACATGACCTCGCCAGGTTGTTTACACTGTCATCCTGTACTTGTCATGCAGAAGGCTTTCGTGGCTGGAGTCACTAAGTTGCTGTGAGTTTTACGGGCTGTATAGCCATGTTCCAGAAGCATTCTCTTCTGACATTTCACCCACATCTATGGCAGGCATCCTTAGAGTATTTATGATTTTATACTGTGTTATTGATTTGTGGCATTGAATTGCTGCCTTTGTTAGCTGCTCTGAGTCCCCCGCCCGGGGGTTGAGAAGGGCAGGGTAAAAATACTGTAAATAAACAAAAATAAATAAATTAGAGGATGTGAGGTCAGTTGGAAACTAGGCAAGTGGGGTTTATATATCTGTGGGGTAATGTCCAGGATGGGAGAAAGAACTCTTGTCTGCTTGAGGCAAGTGTGAATGTTGCAATTGTCCACTTTGTTTAGCATTTAATGGCATTGTAGCTTCAAAACCTGGCTGGTTGCTGCCTGGAGGGATCCTTTGTTGGGAGGTGTTTACTGGCCCTGATTGATTCTTGTCTGGAATTCCCCTGATTTTTGAGTGTTGCTCTTTATTTACTGTCCTGTTTTTAGAGTTTTTTTAAAAAAATACTAGTAGCCAGATTTTGTTTGTTTTCATGATTTCCCAACAAAATCTGGCTACTAGTATTTTAAGAAACTTTAAAATTGGGACAGTAGATAAAAGGCAACACTAAAAAATAGGGGAATTCCAGAAAAGAACCAATCAGGGCCAGCTAATACCTCCCAACAAAGGATCCTCTAGGCAGCAACCAGCCAGTCTTTGAAGCTACAAAGCCACTAAATGCTAATAAAGGTGGCCAATTGCAACATTCACACTTGCCTCAAGCAGACAAGAGTTCTTTCTACCACCTTGGACACTATTCCACAGGTATATAAACCTCACTTTCCTGGTTTCCAATTAACCTCACAACCTCTGGGGATGCCTGCCATAGATGTGGGTGAAACATCAGGAGAGAATGCTTCTGGAACATGGCCATACAGCCCGGAGAACTCTCAACAACCCAGTTGGTAAGGTCCTTTGTGTTGCTCACAGTGGCAGCTTGGGAGTATATTTCTTTTCATCTGACTTGAAAAGAGGAAAGCAGGGAGCAAGAGGCATGGCAGTTGCGGATAACAGCAGATGAGTGTTCTGGTGTGGTGTAGCCAGCTGTATTGATTCTAGGTTGCATCAATCAGAGTATAGTGTCTAGAGCAAGGGAAAGTCATAGTCCCCTTCTATTCTGTTTTGGTCAGACCTCACCTAGAATAATGCTATGTCCAGTTCTGGACAGAGCAATTCAGGAAGGATGTTGACAAACAAGAACTTGTCCAGAGAAGAGCAACAGAAATGATCAAAGGTCTGGAAACCAAACCACATGAGAAGCAGCTGAGGGAGCTGGGTGTGTTTAGCTTGGAGAAGGGAGGCTGAGAGGGAAATGATAGCCATATTTAAATATTTGAAAGGATGTCACATTGAGGAGGGAACAAGCTTGTTTCCTGCTGCTTTGGAGACATGGAGCAATAGATTCAAATTGCAGGAAAAAAGACTGCTCCTAGATAGTAGGAAGAACTTCTTGATGGGAAGAACTGTTTGGCAATGGAAATGCTGCTGCCTCGCAGGGTGGTGATGCCTCCTTCTCTGGAGTTCATTAAGCACAGGCTGGATGGCCATCTGTTAATGTTGCTTTGATTGTGTGTTCTTTCATGGCGAAAGGAGATTGGACTGGATGGTCCTTGGGGGTCTGTTCTATGATTCTAACCCCTCTCCTTCACAATCTCCCAGCTAAGGTTCCCTTTCCCTTGACTCTCCGGTTCAAGCCTATGCTACAACGTGGAATTAACCTGCCTTCACTGGACCCCTCTTGGTAAGCGCCCGTTGCTGCCCTCCACTCATGCAGGTGCAACCAGTCTCTTTGGAGGGTAGCTCTTACGTTCTGTGGGGCTGGGTAGGCTCCCTACAATAGTCCCTGATCACTTTTTTCTCTGCAGGGTGAGCTCAGCCTCCTGGTATTTCCTCAATGTTTTTGGATTGCGACGAGTGTACAATATTGTCTTGGGGGAAGACACAGGTGAGAGATGAGGGGAAGTGGAGGACTCCAGAGATTGGAAGGGACCCCAAAGCCAGGAGGGACACAAGATCAAGACAGGACTGCACAACATCTGAATTCTTTGCATCATTCACAATGCTACTGATGTGAAGAAAATAGGATTTGTTCTGGGAGAAAGGATACATTATCGGTTTAGTGCCTAAAAAAGAGCTGAAATATAGCTTACATGATTTCCCATTGGCGTAACCAATGATGAAAGTTATGAGAGTGCAAACAACAAGTTGTGATGTAGTGGTCTGCGTATTGGATTACAACTCCGGAGACCAGGGTTCAAATACACGCTGAGCCCCAAAACCTTGGGTAACTCACTCTCTCTCAGCCTCAGAATAAGACAATGCCAAACATATCTACCCAAAAAAACCCTGTGGTAGAGTTACGTGAAAATACACAGCAGCAACAGGCACAACAACAATGACCTGGAGTTCTGCACATTCCCAATCCTTATGCTGGAGCATGTCATACTCAGGCTCAGATTCTCACTCCTCTGTCAAAGCTCACTGAAAGACTGCAGGCTGATAACTGAGGCTGGATCTGCACTGCCCCATATCCCAGAATCTGATCCCAGATTAACTGGCAGCGTGGACTCGTATAATCCAGTTCAAAGCAGATAATCTGGAATCAGATCCTGGAATATAGGGCAGTGTAGATTCAGCCTTAGGGTCCTCCTGGTGGCACAGCAGTTAAACCACTGAGCTGCTGAAATTGCTGACAAAAAGGTTGGCAGTTCGAATCCAGGGAGCAGAGTGAGCTCCTGCTGTTAGGCCCAGCTTCTGCCAACCTTTTTGTCACGAGGTTCTACCTTCCGCTCTCTCCTCAGCTGCAGAGCAAAATCAACTCCTGTGGCAAGATCATTTTATGGAACCAACCATGCCTACTCCACCAGATCCTAACAAAGCCTTCAAGGTAAAAGTCCAGCTTTCTAAGTTCTAGAAGACTCAGGTTTTCATTGACAAATCCCCAGAATTCCCTCATTCTGAGATTTTGTCTTTAAAAGGTAGCTTTGCTACACTTAGATACAAATAAGCTTAGATCAGTGGATCTCAAACTTTAGTCCTGCAGATGTTTTGGACTTCAGCTCCCATTTGTTTTGTCCCATTTTTTGTTGCAAGCCTAAGTTCATGTTACATAATGTCACTTTTCATATACGGTTTATACATTTTTATTACCTTCTACAATTTTCTCCTCTCTAAAATGAGGGAAAATTTTCTCTTTACCTTCCAACCCAAAGATATATTAAATAAAAAAATAGTTATCATCCTACTACTGTACTATATGGGCCCCCCAGTGGTGCAGCGGGTTAAACCACTAAGCTGCTGAACTTGCTGACCAAAAGGTTGGCAGTTTGAATTCGGGGAGTGGGGTGAGTTTCCGCTGTTAGGCCCAGCTTCTGCCAACGTAGCTGTTCGAAAACATACAAATGTGAGTAGATCACCTCCGACAGGTGTTGACGGACAATGCCGGCTCTTTGGCTTAGAAATGGAGATGAGCATCACCACCCAGAGTTGGACATGGCTAGACCTAATGTCAGGGGAAACCTTTACCTTTACTGTACTATACATCAAATCTCCATTTTTATACTCTAACTTCCTTAATACTTTACTATTTTTAAAATCTTACCAAGAAACAACACTGATCTATCTTCCTAGGGTTAATTTTTTAAACTATGTGGATGAATGCAAAGCATTTTGAAATGCTTCAAGTGTTATTGCAGTCCTTTAACTGGAAATACCAGGTTTTGGCCTGGCCAGATTCTATCGGTGCCAGCGTTAGTGGCTTGGTCTGTAACTTGCGTGTCACTCATTTCTGCAGACTCAGAGCTTGATCAGCTCTTTATTCCTCCTTCAGGCTGAATGGGAAGCCTTAGAGTTGGTTTCTCACCAGTGGGCTCTGCAGGACGTGGAACAGCAGCTGATGTCGAAGGACCTGAATCTGTCAGGGAAGTTTGGCTCTGACTGACCTCACCTGCGATAGCCGCCATGGGCCACCACAAACCAGGAAGGCAGCTGTGTGCAAAGAGGCACACACATACCCCCTCAGGGTGGCAGATGGCCATCGCATTGTGCATGGTGTGTGGGAAAATGTGGTGTGGCTTTGTCCTGTTGAGGAAACACAAGGTAGTAGAGAGCCAAAGACTCTGGTGTGGCATTAGTCAGAGTGCCAGGCAGTAGAACTATTTTAGCCGATTCTCAGCAGTTAAAGGAGCTAGAAAATCGACAAGAAAAGGTTGCATTTCTTGTTTTGCTGGGAGTGGAAAGCCAATATAAGAGGCCTCTGATTGTTGCATCATAAAGTTCCATTTAGTTTGCAGAATAGTTTTTGCTATTAAATGGAGGCAGCTGCAATTATGCCCGTTTTTATCTTGTGCTTTTTTTCTTTATGTGTAGCTAGTGACAAACAAGGTGCTGTGTGCTTTTTTTTCCCACTAAGGGAGCATCTACACTGTAGAATGAATGCAGTTTGATACCATTTCAAATGCCACGGCTCAGTGCTATGGCATCAGGGGTGTTGCACTTTTATCCGATCTTTAGCTTTCTTTGCCAAAAGTTACCAGACCATGATCAAACTACAACTCCCATGATTCCATAGCATTGAGCCAAGGAAATTAAAGTGGCATCAAACCACATTCATTCTACAGCCTTTATCTAAAAACATCCCTAGGCTTGGGGGGCAAAATAGGAAGGTTGTGGCAAAACATAGGATGGCCTATATGCTGAAACCAGGGACCAGGCAGCTTGAGGTGTAGAGCCTGCCTAATGAAATGGGAGAACTATTTCTTCAAACTGAATAAGTCAAGCTGAGTACAGGCAGATTGAGATTTTTTTTCCATCCCTGAGGGGACGTATTTTACTGTCATTCTGTAACAGAGGGTCTATTTTATCCAGTTGTCTCCTTCTCTCAAGTCACTGTGCACCCTGCAATATAAACATCCCAAAAGTAGACCTGCCATCTGACCTGCAGTCACGCTTAATTCCAGGCACTAAGGCCCCTTCTACAGAGCTGAATAAAATCCCACATTATCTGTTTGAACTGGAATACATGTCAGTGTGGACTCAGATAATCCAATTCAAAACAGATATTGTGGGATTTTCTGCCTTGATATTCTGGATTATGTGGCTGTGTGGAAGAACTCAAAGAGTGGTGGTCCCACACTCTATCCACAAGATGCTGTCCCTGGAGTTTCCAGGGAAGGAATAAACAACCACAGACACTTAAGAATATAGTGCCCTAGAGAAAATGTATTAATCAGATCCCCATAAATTAATACCCCAAATGCAGAGGGCCAGCTGTACATTGTTTAAAGCAGGGGTCCTTCAAACTAAGGCCTGTGGGCTGGATACGGCCCCCCAAGGTCATTTACCTGGCCCTTGCTCAGGGTCAACCTAAGTCTGAAATGGCTTGAAAGCACACAACAATCCTATCGCATCAGCCAAAAGCAGGCCCACACTTTCCATTGAAATACTACTAAGTTTAAATTTGTTAAAACTGTTCTTCATTTTAATTATTGTATTTTTAAAGTGGTTTTTTTGCACTACAAATAAGATATGTGCAGTGTGCATAGGAATTCATTCATGTTTTTTTCAAATTATAATCCGGCTCTCTAATAGTTTGAGGGACTGTGACCTGGCCCTCAGTTCAAAACGTTTGAGGACCCCTGGTTTAAAGCCTGTTTAGAACCTGCTTATGCAGCTGCCAAAAAGTTGGTATTACAATGGCACATCCTTACCTAGATTATCATTATCTCTAGCCCAGGAGTACCAACCAGGTTGACCCTCCCAATGAAGTTCCAGCAGCCTTGGCATTCGACGCAGACATCTGGAGTCAGATGCTTCCCACCTGTGCTAAAGCACATAAGAGAGTGCAGAGGGCCCCAACTTACACGCGTGACTTTGGCTCCCATAGCCACAAACAAAGTGAGCCCTGCATTTTGCCACCCACCCCAGTAGAAAGGACAAATGCCTGGTCCAGTTGTCAGGAAGGCTTCCTTTTTTGAAATGTTGAAGATTAGAAAACAGTGGCCCTATCTCAGGCATGAGCAAACTTTGGCCAAGTTTGCCCCTGCCTGCTCTGTCTTTTGCCACCTTTTTTCACTCCCCTACCACCAGCAGTTGTGGTCTACTGCAGTTAGCAAATGAACCCATACATCCCAAGGCTGTGAAACATCTGGTCCCTAGATGTATTGAACATCAGCTCACAGAAGCCCTAGCCAGTCTACTGAATAGAAGTTACATATCTGGAAGGCCAAATGTTTCCCACACTTTTATGGGTGTCAGCAGCTGGATAGGACATCAGTGGATAATCTTTGCCTTATAGGCCAAAGCAGGAAAGGGTGCTGAGGTGTACAAAGACCCAAGGCCCCAGTTCCAAGAGGAAGAAAGCCAAGTGTTGATGGTGTTTAGGTTCATGTACCACAGACAGTCATACAAGGGGAAAAGAGAGCCCACATACCATTCAAAAGAAGTTACTTTTATGTACAAGTTTTGCCACATGCCAAAAATATTTTCTTCTGCAAAAAAAAAAAAAATCAAAAGAAAAAAAACACAAGTCAAGTGAAGGAATCTTCTTCCAAAACTCTTTTTAAGAAAATACACTTATGTGCTTTCTGCAGGCAGTTGAGTGTCCCCTGCCTGGCCAACAATGCCTCAGTTGATGTCCAGCCCTGCCTTGCATTGCACGCAGACACCTATTTACAAACTAGCGCAATCCCTGAGCCTGGAAGCAGCAGCGACATTCAGCGTGGGGAAGGGCAGAAGGGGCAAAAAGTCAAATACTTTCCTGGGGCAAGCAAGTGTTGGCCTGTAAAATCACAGGCCTCAGTACTGGGGCAATTACTGAAGAGGGAGAATCTCCAGAGTCACTTGTGATGGATGGCAATTCAATTCCTCCTCCACTTTCTTCGACAGTGTAGTTCATGGCAGACCACACGGTCTGAGAGCCGTTCCGTTCTCCCAGAAAGACTTGGAAGCAAAGCCTGGAAGGAGAGCATGTAACGGCCCAGTGGATAAGAAACTTCAGAACCAGGAAACACTAGGAAAAGGAAGCCCAGGGGCTGCTGGCAGTAAGAAAAGGAAGTGGGTGCAGGGCAGCTTGGGATTTATTGCTCTAAGTTGGTAGACAGAGGAATAAATGGAGGCACTTGGGAGGTTAAGTGGGGGTGGATAAGAACACAAGGGGCTACTTTTCGTGCCCGAAAGAGGGGCCCATGGTGGGATGCAAGGGGAAGTGTCCCAATGGACTGCAGATGACAGAAATCCTCCCAGAGCCAGCCACCACTAACTGCGGACAAGGACACTGACCCTCAGGCCACTCCCCGATGCCAAAGTGTAACGTGAGGAGGAGGGCCTAGTGCTATAGGGACGATGGGCAGCACAGTGCAGCACTCATGGAAATGCTGGGGGGAGAGGCAGTCAGGCCCTGAGAAAAGCTCCCCACTTTTGAAATGGAAAAGCAGAGGTTGGAGAGAAAAGAGGTCCTCCCCTTGCATTTTATAAAACGCTGGTGCAAAGACACTGGCCCTGTAAAGTATGTGTGTGTTTGTGTATGTGTTGGGGGGGGGGGGTGAGGGGGCAGGAACAAGCCTTTCCCTTCAGGGTGGGGAAGCTGTGTGCAAAGCAAGGGCCCTTGCACTCGGGCACAGGAAGGCAGCTGGGAGGCAGTCGTGCCTCTCCAGTCCTATGTCCGTGCTCCAACCCTGTTCCAAGAGCTGAGAAAACAGCTGCTACCACTGGATAAGCTCCAACTGCTGCAGCTTCAGTCTTAGGAAAGGAAGGCGCATGGCTCTTGTCTCCCACTTCTCCTCTTCCCAAAGGAGGAGGGCAGGCAGGGCAACGGTCAGTCTACGTCCATGAAGTCCCGACTGTCTTGCTCGCTGGGATGAGGGTCGCAGCAGGCCCCGTAATCTTCCCGGTCTGGGCCAACAGCAGTGCTTGTAGCTGCAGCAGCACTGGGAGGAACCGGGTGGCGGATTTTGTCCTGGCGCTGATAGAACAAGACATACGCAGCTTTGGACTGTGGCAAGAAAGGAAAGAAAACAGAGTGAGAAAAGGTAGGCCAAAGTGAAAGGGCTAACACTTACAAAGCAAAGGAAAAAAGAGCTGAGAAGGACAGTACACTCCTGTCATATCTAAAGCTCCAAAAAGCCACAATCTATCAAATGGTTGGCAAATGAATAATTTACAATGGAAGTCTAGAACCTGAAGTCTTTAAATTAATACATTTTATTTCACCTTATCCAAGAGGCTCAAAGTACCTCTTGCTACCTCATCACATGGGCAAAATTGCCTGTCCTACAACAGTTCAACCTCACTTCAGGCATGGAGCCCGCCAGATCCCATCACATGACGTAGAGCTACTTCAAGCGAGACTCCATGCCTGAAATGACATTGAACTGTCATTAAGAGGCAGCGCCGGGAACACAGGAAGCTTCTCGTCTTCCATTGAAAAGAATGGGGGGAAGCTGGGCAGTGACGCTTCTTCCCATGGGATTTTTTTGTTCATGTCAGGAGCGACTTGAGAAACTACAAGTTGCTTCTGGTGTGAAAGAATTGGCCCACGTCCTATGCCGGATTTGCCACAATCCATGACTAATCCCCCCGCTATCATCTGGCTTTCTGACTGCAGTGATGAGGTCCTTGGGTCAGAACAACATGAAACAAATGGAGGAGCAGCAGTCTCATTGCCAGTTATGAAGATATTGGGATGTGGGGCAGGAGGGAAAAGTAGGGCCTGTAGATCTCTGGCTTAAGAACTGAAGTTATCCAATTCAATAGGAGCCCTCAGTGGTGTAATGGGTTAAACCCTTGTGCCAGCATGACTGATGACCGACAGGTCGCAGGTTCAAATCTGGGGAGAGCACAGTTGAGCTCCCTCTGTCAGTGGGGACATGAGAGAAACCTCCCACAAGGTTGGTCAAACATCAAAATATCTGGGCGTCCCCTGGGCAACGTTCTTGCAGATGGCCAATTCTCTCACACCAGAAGCGACTTGCAGTTTCTCAAGTCACTCCTGACACACACAAAAATCCAATTCAATTATTATGTTTATTTATATTCCACCTTTTCCCTCCACAAAAGGGACTCAAAGAGGTTTACATTAAATAAAAAAAGAGTTACATTTTACTTCCAGCATAGCTGAGCCCTAAAGCATGTGTGGAGAAACTATGTGCCACATTTGTGCAAAGGAAAACTTCTAGATCCTCAGCTCCATCCTCCGCAGATTCCTACGCTTTACGTTTTTAAAAATGTGTTGAATCTCTCCTGCCTCCTCAGATTTTGGGGGCCCAGCATCCCATTCCTGCTTGATAGAAAAAGCAGAGGAAACCAACAAGGCAAAGAACTGTGCTTTTTCC